TGGCTGCCACCAGCCTCAGTGCACATCACTTCTCATAAACACCGACTACCTCTCTCCACTTCCATGTGTTCCCACAAATTAGCATTCCATTAGCATGATATTAGCACATCCGACCTGTGCAGCCAAGGCCTTATCAAAGTGCCCTGTGATCCCTGGCTGCCCGTGCTTTAGTCTGGAGCGGGGGGGGCTGTTAGAGAGAAAGAGAGAGAGGGGGGAGGAAAAAAAGAGTTCCCCCAGAGAGAGCAAAGAAAGATGGAGTGATGGAGAGGAAGACAGACACAGAGAGAGAGAGAGAGAGAGGAGAGCGATGAGCTACATGATAACGAGCTGTGTTACAGTGCACCACAACACAGACTTGTCACAGTGTCTCAGGGCTGTGCTGATTTAAATGGGCTGCAGCAGATGTTTGGTGAATACAATCACACACTGCTGTGTACCTCACTTGACTTGCAAATATTTGCTAAGAAACTGTAATATTACATTCTCTCCGCTTTCTTCCTTTAGGACGTGTGAGGTAGCCATTCTAGTGCACACACACACACACACACACACACGACTTTCTCTCCATACAGGGTGTTGCTGTGGAATAGTGTTTATATTAAGTCATTTCTATGTAAATATTACACTCAGTGCAGTGACTGATGGGAAATATTTGTATTACTTTAAGTAAACATAGCATTAACTTTAGCAGGTAGATGCTACTGAATGACTAAAGATATTTGGTCTGAACAGCCACTGGGTTGATCCTCCCATTGTTGTTGATGGATATGAACCAAGTCAGAATAAAATATAAACAAATCAAAAACACATTCTATAACAACATGTTCTATTTTTGCTTTTATTTCCAGTGTCTCGGTTTCTCATCACATCCACCGGAGCCCTGTATATTTTGGACGTACAAATGGAGGACGGGCTTTACAACTACAGGTGTATGACACGGCATCGCTACACGGGAGAAACCCGGCAGAGCAACAGCGCCCGCCTCATTGTCTCTGGTAGGGAGGACGTCAGTGTTTTAAAAACTCTTAACGCCAGGTTTGAAGTTAATCATGTCCAGAAGACAGTTTGTACCAAATGGTTGTTTTTTGGGTTTTTTTGGCTGGTGCGGGGCTAATATATATATGGGGCTAATTCTGTCCAATATTTAATATCAAGTGGGAGCAACAGACAGAAAAGCCTAATCTGTTTCACATTATACAGTTAAACAGCTAAAGCATTTAGTTTTTTGATTGTTTTTATGTCTATTTTTTCTGGTAATTTCATGTTAATGACAGTACCTCTCCAAAATCTCGGGTTGTTTGTACTGGAAAAATACTTCAATTATTATATGTAAACATTTTAAAAACACTCAATTTTCTCTACAGACCCCACCAATTCAGCACCGCACATCCTTGACAGTTTTGAGCGTCGCGAGGTGATGATGTCACATCGAGTGGAGTTACCCTGCAAGGCCTCTGGTCATCCCGCACCCAAATACCGATGGCTGAAAGACAACAGGCCGCTGGAGCCCGACACGCGCTTCAGACAGAGCGTGACGGGCCTGCTGATAGAAAGAGCGCAGCCCAGTGACACAGGGACATTCGTGTGTGAGGTGTGGAATGGCTATGGCAATGCTGAAGTGACTGGAAGGCTGCTGGTAAAAGGTCAGTGACATCTGATGAGACGGCTCCACAGACCTAGATGCCGCTTTTGAGTTGTTCAAATATTCATTCTGTCACACAGCGTGGATTATATTGCCTTGTGTTGTCGACTAAACACCCAAACTCTCTGTCTCTTGAAGAGCACCTGAAGGTTGTGGTGAGTCCCAGGAAGGTCAAAGGGAGCGTGGGAAGCCAGGTGTCGCTGTCCTGCAGCGTGACTGGTTCAGAGGAGTACCAGTTGTCCTGGTACCGAAATGGAGAGCTTATATACCCCAGTAACAGCGTACGTATGACGGGCCAGAACAGGGAGAACCTGGTCATGGCTGGCATGGCCAAGAGTGATGGTGGAGCCTATCAGTGTTTCGCCAGATATGGCAAGATGTCAGCTCAGGACTATGTCCAAGTCATACTGGAAGGTCAGTTTTGTCGGCAACCATTTTTGTCTATATTTTTAGTGCAGCATGTCTGTGTGCTTTCATCTGTACGTGTATGAATTTGATCACTGCACTACAACTGCTCATACTGGAGTCACCATAATGGTACAAAAAGTTAACTTCCCAAATGTTTTTTTTATACTTGTTTTTTTTTTGGTCAATTCAACTAGTTTGGGACTAAATTTAATACACTTCCCTTCCTCTGACCAGATGGCACCCCCAAGATTTTGGCTTCATTCAGTGAGAAGGTCTACAACATCAACGAGTTCGTCTCGCTCTCATGCACGGTGAAGGGCACGCCAGAGCCTCGAGTGACCTGGACCCTGGACGATGAGCCAGTGATCCGGGACAGCCGCCATCGCATCTCCTACTACACCAACAGTGAAGGCCACGTGGTCAGCCATCTCAACATCAGCCAGACCCAGGTGCCTGATGGAGGGGTGTACCGCTGCAACTGCAACAACTCCGCCGGGACCGTTTCCTACCAGGCGCGAATAAACGTAAGAGGTGCTTGTCAGATCAACTCTTCCAGCACATTATCACATATACACATAAACATGTCTTGATTTATTCGGTCTCTATATGTTCTAATTGGCACTGTTCCCTGACCGTTAGTGAGTTTTCGTGTTGATTTCTACTGCGTTCTGTTTATGTTTGATCAAACAAGAAGGAGTTCTCCAACTGCTACCTTGTACCTGCAAATATAACTGATGTGTCAGCATTAACTTTATGAATACTCTGCTTCCTGTCCAACGCCTGCTGACAGCTTCATATTTGACATCATTAGGATGACGTTCTGTCTCTCCTGCTTATGGATGTAGTGCAATCTGCTCGGTGCAGGAACTTAGTGGAGATAATCACTGTTGTCATGTAGCAGCGATACAGATTCCCTCCTGCTTACTGTGCACCGCGCACGGCCATTAGTAATGCCATGCAGCGGAGAGTGAGGAGTGCATTCTGTACCTACAGTGGTTTCATTTGATTCAATCATCTTCTCAGGTTGTGAGGGTAAATAGGTTGATGGCCTGGCGTGGATGCTGAATGCAGAAGGAGGAATGAAGATAAATCTCTGCTGGAGATGCTGGAGTTAAATGAATGTTTCTCACATCGCTGGCTTCTTAATCATGGCTAAATGAGCAGCCCAGAGGAGTTGTCTGTGCTCAAAGCTCACCATGGAGCTAAGTTGAGGAGAAATACAGTTGATATGAACACATAGCTAGAGTTGAAACAGGACATTCAACACGGTTATAGTTGTTGTCCTTATTGCAAATGCAGTAAACGGTGTGAAACAATTGTGTGATTAGTCACGATTAATCATGATTAATCACCTAATATCACTGTGACATTTACTTTTCTTTGGTTTAATGAGTGTCACCCTGGGAGATCATGACCGCTGCTCTCTGGTCTGTCCTCTATCCATTGTCCTTGTTTTACTGGAGCTGCCAGTTTAGAAGAACTCAACCACTTTAGAGAAGATTAGGATGGAGAACAAATGGCAAAGTGGTGGTAGGTATGGTAGCAGAGATGTCGTGAGGTGAAGGGAGCAGTTAAAAAAAACATATTATCTTAATAAATCAAGGCATGTAGACATTGTGGTGTCTTAAAAACACACACAACACACAGAGCTGTATTTTACCGGACAACCCCTGCCTCAAAACCATTTTAAGAAACTTGTTTCTCCAATGTTATTCTTCAAGGACCTGCCAGCATCAGACCAATGAAAAACCTCACTGCCATCGCTGGGCGGGACATGTACATCCACTGTCGTGTCATTGGTTACCCGTACTATTCCATCAAGTGGTACAAAGACTCCAATTTGTTGCCTTACAACCACAGACAAAGAGCCTTCGAAAACAATGGCACGTTGAAGCTGTTTGACGTCCAGAAGGATGTGGACGAAGGAGAATACACCTGCAATGTGCTGGTGCAGCCTCAGCTCTCCACACACCAGAGCGTCTATGTTACTGTGAAAGGTAGGAGTCTCACTAGTGGTCAAGAAATGTGAAATATCTATGGTACCATTTTCTCCCCTACACTTGGTACAGAGTAGGATTTGAAGGAGCCATGTTTCAAGTATTTTTAAGTCGCTCTGTATGTACGTTTTTAGTGGTACAGGAGTAGCAGATACTGGTACACAAGTCTAGAGTGCCCTCTTCTGGCTCAAAGTGTGGAAATAACAAACGTGAAATGATATACTTTAATATATAAGTATTGTCCAAATATGAAATGTGCCTGTAGCAGCCACTGGTAACTCACTGATACAGTGGTGACAGTATGGCTGAAGGTTGTCTGCTTTGCCTTCATCAGTCATGTACTCAACACAGTAGATTAAACAAGGTAACCACACAAAGGCCACAAAGTTCTCGCTGCCAATCACATTAAAAATGAATATATCAGATGATTCTGTTGTTCATTTTATAGCAAATCCCCTTACATTGTACCATTGATTCAGAATGATGTTACTTTGTTTAAACTTCATCATGATAACTACAAATCCCAGTAACAAAGAACCACCATAGGTCATTCATTTGATGGCTATGACACTGTTTTTATCAGCACATTTGTCAAGAAAGCCATGGCAGTTCATCACTGATCTTTGACTCAGGGACAGTCCGTTTATCAGTCCACCTTCTGATCCTGGTGACTCTTTCCACCTGGGACATTTGTTGCCGATTGTATTTAGAAGGACCATATAGCTGGGATATCTATGTCTCCCTGCACAAACCACAGATATCTGGGAAAATATTAGCATATCACAACCGGAGAGAGAGAAACAGACACACCTCACTGATAGCAAAGCACCGTCTCCATCATCCAGGCCAGCTTATCTGCAGCTCATCTGAATATGCAGTAGCACTCAGCTGAGCCAGACGATGATAACCTCAGATTTCATCGGTGACGCTGCATAATTTGAAATGCCCCCCCACCACCACCACCACCACCAGCACCAGCACCACCACCGTCGCTCTCTGGTGGGCCTTGATGTTCTAACGAGTGTTCAGGGGGGAAATCACACACCGTAGACAAAGCCATGCCTCCATTCTGCCTCAGCTAATTTGCCTCTCAGCTGCTTAGCATTCCACCGCTGCCGAGAGGGAATCCCCAGGAGCCTATTATCCCTATTTTGTTGTGAATTAAATAAGCACTGAAGTGCCGCTTATTCCAATGTTATTTTAAATCATTAATTTTCCAAAGCATCTGGTTCTCACGATGGCTGCAGCGTCCCCAGAGAGCAGGGAAGAGTAAGGGGGAAATGTTATGTGCATGTTGTTTGAGAGAGAATTCAGCTGCTTCACATTAGAAGAAGTAATAAAATATTTCTCCTATTTCTACAAAATCATGGCTTAGTGTGTGGAGAAGAAGGTGATAAAGAGAGAAATGTAACTAATGAGGTACCGGGGGAGTGCTTTATAAAGAACCTCAGCAATGACAGAATAATAGCAGAGCTACTTCTGAACAAAAGCCACAAACCTGTTGTCTGCTGCTAAAATTAAACTAAAATTATAGGCCTGTAACCTGTGGGCCTGAGCGAGCACACTCCCGGAGGAAAATTAATTTGCATGTCTCCTCCACAGTTCCACCCACCATCCATCCTTTTGAGTTCCCTCGCTTTTCCATTGGCCAGCGGGTCTTCATCCCCTGTGTGGTCATGTCCGGTGACCAACCCGTCTTCATCACCTGGCAAAAGGACGGCCAGTCCATCCCAGCCAACCTGGGTGTCACCATAGACAACATCGACTTCACCAGCTCCCTGCGCATATCCAATCTCACGCTGAGGCACAACGGAAACTACACCTGCATCGCACGGAACCAGGCTGCCGCTGTGGAACACCAGAGCCAGCTCATCGTCCGAGGTGAGAACAGGAAAAGATGTAGTCTCACATAAGTGGAAGATAAGAAGAAAAATATGTGCTGTACAGATTCTACATAAAATGCTCAGGAGAGACAGTGGTGTGGAGTTGTTGCATAAATACTTTTTTTATTTAATGTGGAAAACAATAAGAATGATCCATGATTGTTTAAGGATGAATAAAATGAAAACCTTTTTTGCAGTTCCTCCCAAATTTGTGGTACAACCTAAGGATCAGGACGGCATCTATGGGAAGGCAGTGATATTGAACTGCTCAGCAGAAGGCTACCCTGTACCAACTATACAATGGGAGTACTCCAAAGGTAACGATGAGCTCAAACCTTCTATCATGTGGTGAGACACGAGGAGGTCTTTTGAAGAAATCTCATTCAACGTTTTGTCATTTTTATCTTTTCACTAAGTTCTTCAAGGTCAGACCTTCAAAGCTTCTGCAGAAGTGAATCTGTGAAAGCCAAAATTACAAACAGAAGCACCACGGCCTGATACAACATTTTTAAATCTTCAAACAGCCACTGTTGAATAGAAACCTTTGATTTAGTGACTTTATTCTGCATTATTGGAGCCAAGGCCACATTTTGAAAACTAAAATTCCAAATAAATTCAAAAGGTTTGACGGCAAAGTCAATAAAAAGATTTTTCCTAATGATGGATCTCAAAATTTCTTTTGAAGTTTATTCACAAAAAATGAACCCCCCTGGTACAATCTAATGCTAAAAACATTAACTATGTAGGAAATTGTAAGTTGTTTTGGATAAAAGCCTCTATCCGCTACAATTGTATAACATCTATCCATCTATCTATTATTATTATCATTATTATTATTATTATGTACTTGTCCTCAGAAACTTGTGGTACACCATCACCATCCAGGTTCATGTGTTGGTAAAACTACTGTTAAACTACCTCAGTTCCAGGTCTAGTCTAATACCTAACACCAACTCTGTTCCATGTTTTTGTGACAGGTGCTGGCGTCCCTCAGTTCAAACCAATCGCCCTCAACTCAGGATCAACTCGGATTGAGGTGCTGGTCAACGGCTCGCTGCTCATTAAGCACGTGCTGGAAGAAGACAGTGGCTTCTACCTATGCCGAGTCAGCAACGATGTTGGAGCCGATGTCAGCAAGTCCATGTATCTCAACGTCAAAAGTAAGAAAACAGCACCTCACTACTGTGTTTATACACACAGTTAGATCAGGATTAGTGATATTTTTAGTGATAATAAAAACTAACTATTATCACTAATAAAGGATTAGTGATAATAAAAACTGGACCATTTTTTTAGGAGCAGAACCCCATTGTTTACAGCATCAAAACGTCTCTATTGATCTTTAAGAGGAAATACGTAGGTGAAAAAAAGGATAAACTAGTGTAAGGGTGAAAGAAAATTACAAAATTATTTTAAAAAAAAACTCATAGATTAAATGAATCCAAATGCAGTTGTGGATGTTCCAGGACTTTTCATTGTTGTCGTTGCTTTATCAAACAGATACTGTTTTCCCTGGTTCTCCTGTGGACCAGTTTGACTCGTGGACATTCTAAACTTCTGATATCATGGCTGTTGAACACGTTTGCTCATGTTGAGGCTCAGGCAGTTCATACTGTATAAGCTTGATGTTTCTGGGTTAAGGTCAGACACAGAGGCCTGTGTGTTGTTGTTCTGTTGTTTATTCAGTTGAGCCTACATCGCTGCAGCAGTGGCAGCTACTCCAGAGGCTTAGGAGCCAATTAGAGAGCATACAAGCTGAGGCATGCTCAAGTGCTGGTGTGATGGATAACGTGATCTCCGCTGCATATTATTGGCTGCTCCGGAGTTTGATGCATCAGTGTGACTCACCAGATGTACTGTAGACTCTGGCTATGAACATGTTTTCAGTTGTTTGTTTACAATAGCACTTATCTTCTGACCAAAGTCAGAATCTCTGTGACACCAACCTCCGGTGTTCTCACTTATAATGATCACATTTGAATAATATCAGACAGACGACGGTTATATTTGTACTGTGGAGTATAAGGTCCAGGTTGAGAATCAAAAAATGTACGAAAAGAAGTTGTTAATTTATCAGAATGAAGTCGTAATATTAGTTTAAAAGAGCACGTCGTCCAACTCACGCTCTGTCAAATCAACACTGTTGATCTCGGTGAGTGTGCTTTTTTTTCGTCTCCTCCGATACACAGCAGCTAGACCTTTGACTTTAGTCTTAAAGAATTATGACTTTCTTGACTTTTTTTCTTCTCGTGAATCTACTACTTTTTTTTCCATAAATGTACCACTTTTCAATAAACATTTTTGATGTTAATTTCATAATTGTATATATATATTTGTATATATATATATATACAGTATATATATATATTCGTATATTTGTGGTTTCCTTTCAATAGGAGTTTAACAACAACATGTAAAACATGCAAATGTTCAAACCAGAACACCGTTTTCGAGGCCACTGTCCATTGTCTTGGTCTCTTGTTTCACCGTAGGACAAAGATAATGAACAGCGAGTGTGTGGTGAAAAGAGGTCCGGCTACGTGAGCCTGAAGTATCGCTAAACAAAAATCAATAGATTCGAAAAGATGGTCGAAGATGTCCAACGTAAATATGTGAAAGGCAGTAATGTGAGCAGGTCATGTAGATGACACAGAGGAGCAAATGTTTTCATGAGCACACACAAAGACACAATGGACTCACACACACACACACACACAGAGCTGTACATTAATCCAAAGACAGAGCGTGAATGCTCCGATATAGTGACGCTCACTGCAGTCATTACAAAAGACTAATGGTTCAGGCTGCTAATGCAGTGGTTTAGATGCAGTCGCTCCCACTCTGCCTGGCTATTGTGTTGGACGCCGCAGGAAATGAATTGTAGACATTGGTTTATGGTGGCTTGGTGCTTTCATTGTTATGAGCTCCTGTGCATAGGCTAATGTCTACTTATAATATAACCGCAAATCTCATTTATTGCTGTGGGATAAAGTTGCACGTCGATGAACCACTGTTTTCCACAGACGAGCCTCTCTCTGTGGAGGAACAGTGGTTTTGTCACATCAACGGCATCAAAACAAGTGATTTTGGTGCGACTTTCAGTCAAACGTCTCTGCCTTTAGAACAGATGCAACTCAGTCAATCCATCACTAATCTATGACAGATGCTATCTGAGACCGTCAACGGCCACTCAGTCTTTATCTCGGCCAGTTGAGACCAATCAAGCTTATTAGACATCATAATGTCAGTAGATGCTGTGATTAGGACAGAGGACATAATGAGGCCTCGCTAAAGAGGAGTGGCAAATGGTCCCGTGGTCACTAATCAGTCTGAGGCACAACACTTTCTCTTTTTTTCCCATCATATTCAGTCATCGACCTCAGTCCAGTCTGTCCTTTCCTGGACAGCTTTCTTTCCCAGTCTGCAGGCGTCCATTTAGCATCATGCTTCACATCCAAGCCAATTGTGCAGCTAAGGGAATTATTTCAGAACATTGGAGGCTGCCAGTGTACCTCCCCCCCCCCCCCCCCCCCCCCCCCCCCCCCCCCCGCGCTCCCCCCCCCCCCCCCCTCCCCCTCTTGTCTCCCCCTCTACTGTACGGCCATGGCCGCAATAGCTGCTGCCGGTGTGGATGATGCGGGTTGTGTCTTCCCCAGCTCCCACTTACAGTGTGCCTTCAGGGCAGAGAGCTTCTCACAGCTGAGCTCATCTACGGGGCTGTTGTCTGGACCTCATGGCCTGATTGAGCCTGGAACATTCTATGACTGTATCATCTCAACAAGCAGCCGGCAGCACATGCAGACTAGCGTTCATGTTATTAGCATGAATGGATGATTAAGCAGGTTAAAAAAATCTGGTCACATTTAATGGGACTGGATGGCTGCACGTCAGAATATTTTTTTTAGACTTGCACTTCCTACTTATTCAACTGACGTTCACAAATGTCCCCGGTGACATTTAAAAGTAAACAGCAGGTTGATGTATCAATCCTGAGACCAGGGAGCATTAGAAACGTTTCTTTTGGTGCCTGCATTGCGACATTCAAGGCGCAATTGTGTAGTCATCATCGCACTCCTGTGGAAATCAATGGCAGGTCCATGTTCTATTCCTGGCTACTAGAAATGGCCCTTTTTCTGAGAGCAGCGACTGAGGAGAGAGGGAGACACAGAGTGAGAGAGAGAGAGAGAGAGAGAGAGAGAGAGAGAGAGGGAGGGAGGAGGAGTGAGGTAGGAGGAGTGAGGTAAAGGTGGGGAGAAAAGAGGAGAGACTGTCCGATGCTGGTTGGCATGGTAACCTGGCCAGGTGAAAGGGAGCCTGGGAGAAGGGGGGGGCTAGAAAAGGGGGGTGCTTTTGTCTCAGGGGAGTAGCCTATCAGCAGCCAACCTATCCCCACAATCCCCTGCAGGCTTAAATGTATCATCACTGCCCTCTGGGTTGCTGTGGAGGAACAGGGCTCTCCTCACCTCTACATAAAAAGACACAATGTACTGTGTGGAAAACACACACTCTGCACTCTGCTGGCGTTTTTTTTTTTTTTTTTTTTTTTTTGCTTTTCCAGAAGCTGCAGTGTTGATTTTCTTTCTCTTTTTTTTTCAAACTAAGCCTCAGATACAGCAGCAGATTTCTAGGAATAATCCTCAAAAAAAAAAGAAAAAAAGAAAATTCCCACATATCCATCCTCATCATGCCTCCCAAATACAGCTGCGTTTTCAATTAGAAGCAATGCATGAGCGCCTTCCCTGTGTCTGTCTTAATGTGTGAAGGACAGTGATCTATTTATGCCTCATTTTTTATGCTTCATTATGCTTCGTCGCAGTGTCACTAGTGTCGACTCCCCCACAGATATTTACTTGTACTTACAGACCACTGTTAAATAGGCCTTCACATAATTCAACACACACACGTCGTCCTGTGTCCCTGCAGCACTGGACCAAAATACAGTCTTACACTAAATTGTAACTGTTGTCTTTTTGTTGTATTTTGACCCCCCCCACCTCGTCCTGCTCCACCCTCCACCCTCCACCCTGCTGCCTTGTTCCCTTAATGTGACTCAATATTAAAGAAATACATCAACAGCACAATTACAGGCCACACAGTGAGCCTCGGGGCTGGCTCAGCTGTGCTTTTCACACACACTCTTGTTCACTTATGCATGTACACAAACGCTAGTGACATTCAAGTACAAAACACTTCAGATGCACACGTTCAAACAGCATGTGTTAAACAACGAGTTCAACCAGAGAATACACGACTAACATGTCCTCCTTAGATACAACAGATTCTGGAAAAACAGTCTTTTATCCCTGAATTGTCTGGAAAATTCACTGCAAATAATATGTTTTAATCCATTATTAAAATATTATATTTCAAGTTTCCACATCTGTATTTGCCAGTGGGCAGTTATTTAAAAACAAAATCATAAAAAAAAAAACTCTTAGTAAAAAGGTTTAATAAACTATGAAAGATATAAAGGAGATTCTTCATATAAATGGAACCTTTCACATGTAAATATAAAAGAAATAAAAAGTAAATAAAATATACATATGAATCACTTATTTGTCCCACGATGGGACGAAATCCAAAGTTTAAAAAAAAGTTTGTTTTTCTTTAGTCTGACATCATCAGTATCAGTGCACTTTCTTTATATTTCAGGATTATTGTCATCCAACTCAAAAACACTTTTGTTAAAATGTCATAGAGTTTAACATTTAGCATCAATTTGTTTTGTGTATCAATATGTTTTATTATTAATAAACAGATACTGCTTTGTTTTAGGTTTCTATAGAAAAAGAAATATATATGTGGTTGTACTACACAGATACATATATATATATAGAGAGAGAGAGAATATTTAGTTGTAAATGTCATCTCTGTGTTGTTGTAGAATTCCCTCTGCTCTGGATGGTGAAAGGCTTTCGCTGTTTACAGTGCTCTACACACCTTTCACCGTCGCTGCTTTTTGTCACCTCGCACAGTCGCGATGTGCCAGAGTGAATGTCAACAGCGTTGCCTCGCGCTTGTAGCTACTTACATGGAAAAATGCTCTAATACGATAATGTTTACATAAAGCCTCAGCAGGTATTTTTTCCCCTCACTTATCCAAATGTGTCTCACAAAAAATTCATACTTGTCATGCAAAATAAATCAGCCTTCTTTTCCACAGCCGAACCCCAAATGGCTGAGGAGTGAATAAGAGATGAGGCTTAAATGTCTGCAACCTCTTGCCTGACACTTCCCATCACATCACTGGAATCACGCGTGTGTGTGTGTGTGTGTGTGTGCACCAAAGACAGAAAATGAGGAATTGCACACACACACACACACACACACACACACATGCATGTTTAAACATGTGTGAGCATCTGGGAGCAGAGGGTTGTTATACACTCCACTGTGGGTGTAATGAGCCATGTATATAGTTAGTGTGTGTTTAGTGTGATGTCTTCAGAGTGTTGTTAGAGCATCACTGTACCATTCAGGACCCTCTGATACAAGATGCGAGTCTCGCCCGTGGCAAAACAAAAAGCAAACGATTATCATCGCTCATCAACGGTCACAGAAATATATATACATATATATTTTCACCATAAATATGTTTCTTCTTGTTTGTAAATGGAGACAAATGTAACTTTGTTTATGAAAAGTATGGTTAAATTAGCGGTTTGGTCATAAAGTGTACTTTATCTGATGACTCCCACTGGTTTCTTTTTTTAGTAAATGTATTTGATTAAATACTTAATATTTAATGTTTAACTTTACACTTGTCGTTAGACCTGGTATAATTATGACATCTTTGCGTGTGTGCAAGTGAAATTGAGACCAACTTTTTGGTACCAACTTTTTAATAATTATGGTTGTTGTTGTTGTTGTCAACAACTTTTTTCCAAGGACTAGTTTGTGTCTTACTCAGTGCTATCTCACCACACCAGTGTGGTGAAGAGAAAACTAAAATGTCTCATTCAGACTGAAGCCATTTCCACGAACAGCGTTTCTCATGTTTAATGAAGCCAACACCGAACATCACCTGTTTCCGCTGTGTTGTTTTTCACCAGTTCCGGCCATGATCACGTCCTACCCCAACACCACACTGGCCACACAGGGCGAAGAGAAGAAGATGAGCTGCACGGCCCACGGTGAGAGGCCCATCATGGTGCGATGGGAGAAGGAGGAACGCATCATCAACCCCGAGACCAGCCGCTACGTGGTGTCTGTCAAGGAGGTGGGCGATGAAGTCATCTCCACACTGCAGGTAAGAAATGGGCAACATTTATGGAAAGATGGACTTGACTCTATCACATGTCACTGGTTTCATTTTGAGCAGAGACCTACATTTGTAGAGCCTTAAAAACAGTGTGTAATTTACACAAATTTCCCAAGAAAGAGTTTATGCAAAACTAACTTCTTCTTCTATGAATACAGATTTTTTCTTTCAAAAATGAAAAGAAAAAGCACTATTGATAACCCTTTGAATGTCGTAGCTAACTTTGTACTATTTAGTGTATTTTCCTATTTATGACCGTCTTGATAATACATTTCATTCCAGATCTTGACTCCCTATTTAGAATAACTTATTTTATACATGAGTTAAATCTAAAACTTTAAAGTGAATATATTAAATATAAGTATCCTACTCCTTTGAATAAAAAAAAGGATTTTCAAGGATCTTCTTTGTCAGAATCCTTTTTAAATGTGACTGAACACACACTGAAGAACAGAAGAAAAAAAGAAAAAAAAAGTGGTTTCTTAGTTTTCAAAAACTACAGCTTTTTACCTTGGTTATGCTTTGCCAATTATTTTGCTTTCTGTATTCATTTGACATGATAGTACCAGGTTACTGACACAAAACATGTTATTTAACATTGTTAAATAAAATAGGTACAAATTGTACAAATATGTAATTTTTTTTTTGTTATTCAAAAAGTGACAGCAAAATAATACAAATACTTTTAGTCCCAATGGTGTATTGATATTTTCCCTCACTGCTGGAAAAAAACCAACTGTATTTTGTTGTTGTTCATCCTTCAGATCATGCCAACGGTGAGGGAGGACTCTGGCTTCTTCTCTTGTCATGCCATCAACTCCTTTGGTGAAGACAGAGGAATCATACAGCTGACTGTTCAAGGTAGAGAAACACAGGAATCTGCTGATGAAAAGAGAATCAATCAAAGTTTCTGTTACTGTATTTGTTGTATAAGTGGAGTTCGTACTGAGCTGTGAGGAAGTTTGAAACAAACGTATCGTTGTTTCTCCTTGAAGAGCCCCCAGATCCTCCCGTGGTGGAGATCAGAGAGGTGAAGGACCGGACCATAGCACTGCGCTGGACCATGGGTTTCGACGGCAACAGTCCAATCACAGGCTTTGATATTGAGAGCAAGAATAAATCAGGTAATTTCTCGATGGTGCAGCCGAACTGACCACTGGTCAGAGTAGACAGGGTCTGAGTATGTATGAGCGAGGTTTTCTGGATGAATTATCTCTCCACTCCTCCCACTGTCTCTCTACCAACATTTAATAAATCCTGTCCCAATGCACTTAAAAGGATATGACCTCCCTCTTTGACTTGAACAACCCCAATAAAACCTCACCCTCTCCCTCCCACAGCCTCCTGGGACACCGCTCAGAAGACCAAAGATGTCTCACCTCAGCTCAACCAGGCCACCATCATCGACCTGCACCCCTCCTCCACCTACAGCATCCGCATGTTTGCCAAGAACCTGATCGGGAAGAGTGAGGCCAGCAACGAGCTCACCATCACAACTGAAGAAGCAGGTAAAAAAAAAACATGGAGCAGAGGCAGTTCTGACGTTAGCATATTCACAAATGGTCCCGCAGAAAAAGGAGCTCGCACATGATTGGTGGTTACCGTTTGTCGTGCTGAGGCTTAGCATAGTAGCAACGAGTGAGAGACAGCAGTGAGATGTGAGTGCAGTGTAAAAGACAAGAGGCAATGGAGGTAAAAGGCCAAGTGAGTCAATTCATTAACAGCCCAGTGACATCAGCTCCATCGGCTCTGTTGCATTATTGAACACACGCTGACCCTGCACTAAAAGCAGAACTTTTCAATTAGCGGCCTCTGTAGTAAATGTCACGGTACAGTCAATAGACATAGACCAAACCCTTCCATACCTTCACACCCTCTGCTAGCCCTCCTGCAACATCAGTTCAAAAGGCTCACTTCTGATGGTTTTCAGTTTGATTGCATGTATGTGTTGATGCTCCTGTCACAGCGCCTGATGGACCCCCGCAGGAAGTGCAGCTGGAAGCCCTCTCCTCTCAGAGCATCAGAGTCACTTGGAGGGTATGTCCAGCAAAATATCTGTTTAAAACTATACATATAGTTTGATAAGGTTTTTGTTGTGTGGAAAATTACAATCAAAGCCAAAAAAAACAAACACATTATTTGACTTTGTCTTTTGTCCCTTTATAAACATATAACACAATGTTAAAAAAACAAGTGAGAAAAACATTTACCTGGAAAATTCAATTCAGCTTTGCAACATGTACAGCCTAACTAATTTCTACTTTGAGTTTACATATGGCTGCATCTAGTTTTTAGTATCTCCATGACCAGAAATGTACTCAGCGGATAAACTTTATGGTGACTTTAAGAGTTTTTAAATCACTCAGTACTCAGGGTAGAAATGAAGGCAGAAATGATCAGGGAAACAGCAGGGAGTATTCACCTGGAATTACAGGTAATGACAGACCAGCCCAATATGTTTTATTTACATGTGTTTGTATTATAGCATCATTTAAAGAATGTAACAAATTTGTTCATTCTTGAGTAAAATATGACTAGTACAGACAAACATTTGTCTGAACCATTTTATAAAAAAAATGACCTTTTCTCACTGATCTCCCAGCCGCCCAAGAAACACCTTCAGAACGGGGCCATCAAAGGGTACCAGGTGGGCTACCGAGAGTACAGCTCAGGTGGAAACTACCAGTTCAGTGTGATCAGCGTGGAAACCACAGGAGACAACGCTGAGAGTCTGGTCCTGGACAACCTGAAGAAGTTCACCCAGTACGGTGTGGTGGTGCAGGCCAGCAACAGCGCTGGAACGGGGCCTTCATCGACAGAGGTGGCTGCGACAACACTGGAAGATGGTGAGTTTGGGCTGAGAGCAGAGGGAGGAAGGGGGGGGGGTCTCAATGTTGACACAACAGAATAGAAGTGCTGAACCAAGTGAAGATGTGTGTGTGTTTTCCCTCCACTTGCGTGTGAAACAGCCTGATAGAATCTTGCAAAGATTTGTGGGGATATGTTACAACCTAGTGGAAATCAAGTGGTACTGCTAGCTGTAATTATTTCAAGTACCGACTCCAGACCCAACTCTGTTCTGTTGTTTTTGTTCTTCCAGTACCCAGCCGTCCTCCAGAGAACGTCCAGGCTATAGCCACATTTCCAGAGGTCATCTCCCTGTCGTGGCTGACTCCTCCCAAAGATGCTCTGAACGGAAACTTGCTAGGATTTAGAGTCATCTACTGGGCCAACCTGCCTGATGGAGGTACGCAACAATCACACCGTGTGGGGCTTGGATAAGAACAGAGTGTGTCTGCGAGGGTGTGTGTGTGTGTGTGCGTGTTTATGTTAAAGAAACATTTATGATCAACCCTTTTTTTAATAAACACAAATAAAAGCAGCTGCCACTGCTCACCACAGCCAGTGGTTTTCTTTCAATACTTACTGTCACTACACTGCATGTGGTAGCTGTGATCTTCATTTAACTGAAATAGTGACACAGTGCCCTAATATTTTTCCCCTACTCTGCAGGTTTGGATTTCTGGTTGATAGGTTTTTAGTGGGAAGTGAGAATTAGGTCAAGTCAGAGGTAGTTTACCTGCCATCTAACGTTACTTATAGGGGATTGAGGTCACTTCATGTCTGCTTATAGGCTCACAAAAGTCCATACGGCAAGTGCACACATACACACGGATAAGTCTCAAAATAAATGCACAAATGCAAACATAGCAAAAAGGACTTTATTATCTTTGACCAGCAGATGGAGGGCTTTACCACTGCTGGTAAAATCGTTTGTCAATACACCATTTGTAGTTTCATCACAGTATTTTTTCATGTACTGTAATAAATACAGTATTATATTAGTTATCTATACCCATTTCTTAATGACCTTAATTTATGTTTAATTTAATTAATTTAATCCAACTGCTCACATTAAGATAACATTAAGTTGCATTACGTTAAGTGACTTTTTTTTCACATTTCCCTGCTTTTATTTCCATAAGAACTTGGAGAAATCAGGAATGTGACGACCTCAAAGCCTTCTCTGGAGCTGGACGGACTGGAGAAATACACCAACTACAGCATCCAGGTGCTGGCCTTCACCCGAGCCGGAGATGGTGTCCGCAGTGAACAAATATACACTCGCACCAAGGAAGATGGTAGGGGGAAAAAAGTCACGTTTCCAAATGAAAGGCACGATCATCAGACAGACACCAAGGTTTCTCTCTCTTATCTTCTGGTCGTCTTCTCCTTTCAGTTCCTGGTCCTCCAGCAGGGGTGAAGGCAGCTGCTGCGTCGAACTCAGTGGTCTTTGTGTCCTGGCTCCCACCACATAAAGTCAATGGCATCATCAGAAAATACACTGTTTTCTGCTCCAACCCACACCCTACGGTATAATTTTTTTTAAATTAAAAATTATTATAAACGGTTTTTGTGCAGTAACTTTGAATTGGGTTGATCTTGTTCATATGATTTATACTTCAATTTTTTTAATGTACAGAAAAAAAAAGAAATATTAATTGGATGAAAATTAAAATAAAACACATTCAGTGAAGTTCCAGAATTGTATTTATTTTTACCAAAAAACAAGACAAGATTTTATTAACACTGTTTTAGTAAGCTTTAAATAAATAGAGAATAAACATAATTAAAACTAAACGTTGGCTACCTTCATTACATGGGACTTGAAAGGACACATGAAGAAGCCCAGGTAAACTGATGGTAAACTCTGGCTGTGGATGTTCTCTCTCACCCAGGTGAGCAGTGAGTTTGAGGCAGCTCCAGACGTCTTCTTCTACCGCATTCCCAACCTGAGCAGGAACAGGCAGTACAGTATCTGGGTGGTGGCGGTCACTGCTGCAGGAAGAGGAAACTCCAGTGAAATCATCACAGTCAAACCCATGGCTGAGGGTATGTACAGTGTGTCACAGTGAAAACTCAGTGTCAGGTTCAGTTCCAAAGGTGAATTAATGCACTGTCCACATTGATGAGTCTAACCAAGCGTGTTGGACTTTTGTAGCCCCTGCTCGGATTTTGACATTCAACAGAACCGTCACGACACCGTGGATGAAGGACATTGTGCTGCCCTGTAAGGCCGTAGGAGATCCGTCGCCCACCATCAAGTGGCTGAAGGAAATGTGCGTTTAAAGTCTATATGTTTTCACACACGTGTGCTTTTTGGTTTTCTGACACTTCATTTCTCACTTTTAGCAATGCAACCCCAGCACCGGTTGTGATTGACAGTCGGCGCAGCGTCCACGGGAACGGCAGCCTCATCATCCGCACGGTGAAAGCAGAAGATTCTGGAAACTACACTTGTGTTGCCAGTAACAGCTTTGGGTCGGACAAGATTGTCCTCAACCTGCAGGTTCAAGGTGAGGGTTTGTCCATGTTTGGAGACAAAGAACACTGTGTCCCCAGTGAAGTGACCAGTTTGATAGTGTGGAAAAACCTTAGTGGGTCTTTGGGTCTTAATAAGACAAATTTAATGTCAAATCCTCCTCTACAGTTCCACCTGACCAGCCCCGCCTCACTGTTACCAAGACAACCACCACCTCTATCACCCTCTCCTGGATTCCAGGAGACAACGGAGGCAGCTCCATCAGAGGTCAGACATATATACCACACTTTCTCCACTACTCTGTCTTTATTTTCCTACATTTTCACACATTGACCTGAGTTTATATTCCTACTTGTGCGCCCCCACAGGTTACATCCTGCAGTACTCCGAGGACAACAGTGAGCAGTGGGGAAATCATGCCATCAGTCCCAGTGAACGCTCCTACAGACTGGAGAATCTCAAGTGTGGCACGTGGTACAAGTTTACCCTCACAGCTCAGAACGCAGTTGGACCAGGAAGAATCAGTGAGATCATAGAAGCAAAGACTCATGGGAAAGGTAGGATCGGGTTCAAAGAAGGTCTATGAATGGCACTAACTTACTATTTTTTTTTATTATTTTATTATTTTGATATGTCAAATGTTTAACGGTAACAGTGTGCTTATAGCACCCCTACAGGCGGGCAGTTTGTTAACACCACTGGTGTTTTGTCCTTTGATAAAATGATCCATCATATACTGTCAAATAAAAATGAATGAATAACTACCACGGTGAGCATGGAGCGCAGTTACATTTTCCAACACTTCTGTCCCTCACAGAACCGCAGTACTCCAAAGAACAGGAGCTCATCACCAGCATCAATGCCACTCGAGTGAAGATAAACCTAAGCGGATGGAACAACGGTGGATGCCCCATCACCTCCTTCTCTCTGGAGTTCCGGCCTGTGGACTCGCCCACGTGGACCACAGCCCAGCGCACCTCCCTCACTAAAAGCTACATCCTGTACGACCTGCAGGAGGCCACCTGGTATGAGCTGCAGATGAAGATCTACAACAGCGCTGGCTACGCTGAGAAGAGAGTCAAGTTTGCAACCCTCAGCTACGATGGCAGTGAGTTCAACTACGACTTTTTCTAAAGCATTCGGACAAATGATTTCTCAAGTTCTAACTGCCACGTAGTCTCTGTCTGTTAGTTTGCAATAAATTCATTAAATCAACCTGGCGTTCTCACAGTAGTATTTGTCACCACGTCTTTTCTCAGGTACAATCGCGCCATTAGTGAAGGCGCCCAATGTCAGTGAGGAAAACTCAGGTGGCGGAGAAGGCTTGAAGATGATGGTCACTATTTCTTGCGTGCTGGTCGGGATCGTTGTTATTTTCATTGGACTGCTGGTGCTGAGGAGGAGGAGGAGGGAGCAGAGGCTGAAGAGGCTGAGAGGTGAGATGAGGACGCAACTGAGGAAAAGATCACAACTGAAAAATGTTGCTACGAAGTAAAACCTTCTTTTGGATTGTCAATCATACAGTGTCAATTATTATAGTTTGTCTTCTTTTATTGTTTTATTTTTCATCCACTGGAAATGAATATATTTCACTTCAAATATCATATTCTAAGTTGGAAAAAACCCTGTAAACAGGGATCTCAAACTCCTGGACAGCAGACCACTTCCTGTCCAGGAACCCCTACAGGCCAGAACTAATAACCATGAGTCAAATCGTGTTAATCGTTTCATTAAAATGTGTGTGTACTCTTGTTACATGAAGTACTTAAAAGAAACAGACATAAAAAAGACACGTGTACTGCAGTAGTGGTCCCCGGCACAAATGAGTGTGAAATGATTATTGACATATAATTTGACACATATGCGTATGTTTCAGCAGCAGCATGGCTCTCTTCTATCACTTTCTGTTACACACATTTCACATTTTGTCCACCCGAGTTTTATTATGTATGAGGTGAACTGATGGGTTCATTTGATTTCCAGATGCAAAAAGCTTGGCCGAGATGCTCATGAGGTAAGACTGTTAAACAACTTCCTTCTCTGCTGTTAATGTTGCTAATATCAAGTGTTTGATATAAACTCAGTTTTTGTCACGTCCCTTTTTTGTGCTTCACAGTAAAAACACACGTCCTGCGGAGCCAATTAACAAGCAGCAGCAGACACTCCGCATGCACATCGACATCCCCAGAGCCCAGCTCCTGATCGAGGAGCGAGACACCATGGAGACTGTTGGTGAGCTCCCTGAGACCTTTCTTCCTCCTCCTGTCCAGGAAATGAGCCTGGAAATAATTCCCCTTTAATGTGTGTTCGTGTCTGTCCCACAGATGACAGGTCCACTGTGTTACTGACTGATAACGACTTTGGAGAGACCCAAAAACAGAAGTCGTCCACAGTCACCCATACTGTCCACTATCAGTCTCTGTCCCAGGCCACTGGTCCGCTGGTAGATGTGTCTGATGCCAGACCAGGAACCAGTAAGTCCAGTACGGACGCCTTTTTTTTAAAAACTCATTTCTGATGAAATGTTTACTATTGTTCAGTTATCATCATTGTGAATACTTTGGTCAATGTTTCACTTTACCCAATTCTATGCTTAATTTAGGCATTAACTCACAAAATAGTAGTTGCAAAGTTTAAAAGTTAAGAATTTGATTCTACAATGAAATAAAATGTAAAATTAAATCACCAATTTTAATTTTACCTCAGGGTTGAAGAATTAGCTTTACACTCTCAGGTGTTCTACACCGTGATTGACTGAAAACCCAGTGTTCTGCATTGACAAAGACCATATCAAGGCATTCCAAAAAAGTCTTTAGCCGTAGCATGTGACTGGAATTGTCTAAATAATCTTATAAATATAATTTAATTAAAAACAAATTAAGGTTGGTATGGTAGCATTTATAGTATAAATATAATTGAAAAGTTATCTTAATTAAATATATTTTTTGTTTCCAAAAGTATTGAAACTAAAGCAGTAGATTATACAGTTTTCAGTTCCATTTCCCATGACTCCATTCCACCTCCTGTGTTTTCTACGTTCTCAGATCCTACAGCGCGACGTTTAGCCAAAGCAGGTCCGGCTGCTCGCAACCGCTACGCCAGCCAGTGGACACTGAACAGGCCGCACCCCCAGGTTTCCTCCCACACCCTCAGCACTGACTGGAGACTGCCGACACCCAGGGTTGCAGGCTCAGTTGACAAGGAGAGTGACAGCTACAGCGTCAGCCCATCTCAGGACACAGGTAAAGGGTTCAGCTGGACGTGTCTCCACTTTTCATGTCTAACAACAACCAGTATCAAATACAGTATGTTGTTGTGCATCTCCATCAGACTAACAGTAAATACTTGAGCCATTAACCCTTGTCACTAACCCCAACACTAACTCTGACCCAGACCGAGCGAGGAGCAGTATGGTGTCAACAGAAAGCGCCTCGTCCACTTACGAGGAGTTGGCCAGAGCTTATGAACACGCCAAGATGGAGGAGCAGCTGCGGCACGCTAAGTTCACGATCACGGAGTGCTTCATCTCTGACACTTCCTCGGAGCAGATGACGGCAGGAACCAACGACTACACTGACAGTCTGACCTCCAGCACACCATCTGAGTCGGGCATCTGCCGCTTCACTGCTTCCCCTCCCAAGCCTCAGGACGTCAGCCGAGTCATGAACATGGCCGTACCCAAGGCCCACAGACCGGGTGAGGACACGGTGCCTGACGACCAACGTTCGGTCTTCCTCTAACACACTGACAAGCTGAAGCTGATGACATTTCTCATTGTGATAGTGGTCATTTACCACAGCCTTCACCTGTGACTGAAGTTGGCACTATAACCTAGTCACTAGTTTCTGTGAGAACTGTGAGAAAACATCCAGAAAAGTCAGCAAACAACTATTTGAATCTTTTAATGCAATATTACAATTCAATACGATAAAAAAAAGAAAAAAAAATAGTCATCTACAAATGAAGTAACATGAACTACAGTGGGTGGATACATTAGGTAGTAATATTGGGTTTCTACAAAAATCCTTCACTTTCCTTTCCGTGCAAAATCCACACCCACTACTATGATGCTCTGAAAAGAATATAGAATATTAGAAATTAGAAAATAACTTCTATAAATGGTTTATTTTGTTTGTTTTTTTCTGTCATCATCCACAGGGGGCGAGTTGGTTCACCTTCCTCCCTACCTGCGCATGGACTTCCTCTTGAATCGAGGCATGACCTGCTCGGGGACATCCAGGGGGACAGCCAGTGGGGAGAGAGCAGCCATGGGTCAGACCTGTCTGGAGCCACAGAAGAGTCGCTCGCTGAAGCGGCCGTCTCGCATGGCCCCTCCGACCCCCACAGAGGCTCCTCAGGCCAGCAGGGACCCAGTGACCCAGTGGCAGCCTGGCACTGCAGCCACGCTCCCCCACAGAGAGGGCTCAGAGCTCAGCCAGGCGGCCAAGCTCAGCACCTCCCAGGAGTCCCTGCTAGACTCGCGAGGACATCTCAAACAGAGCAGCAACCCCTACGCAAAGTCCTACACGCTGGTATAACAGCAGGGGCTCCTGGGGCGGACTGGACCTCACTCCAACACTGGACTTAACACTCAAGTGCAGTAGACTGACTTTCACCACGCAGTTCTGTATATAAGCCCCCTCCCTCCAAGGGAGGGCCACTTTTACTAATCTCATTTTATTTATTTTTTAGAACTTTCTTTATTTCTTGTTTGATTGTTTTTCTCCTTTTTTTCTTTTTTTTTTGTTTGACTTGAGTAGAACGAAAAAAATTCACTCGTCAGAAATGACTCCATTCAGAGCTTTGCCAAACTAAATGAGTAACGAGAGCATTATTTATTCTTCATTCTTGTTAATTCTTTATAATTAATCATTGATTATTAATTGTTCTTTGTCAGCTATTAATGGTCATTAATTATTGACTACTAAATGATCTATTATTACCATTATTACGATGTTTTCATAAAGAGCCGGATATTTTTTTTTCTGGAGTGAAAGATGACGATTTGGAGTCATGTTTTTTCCTATGGAATATCCTTCTCAAATGCTAAAAGATACTTGGGAGAAATCTTGGAATGAAAGCAATTGACACCAGTCCAAACTTTTCAGCTGCTCTCCAATTGTTACTTTTTTGAAGAAAAAAAAAAAAACTATTTCCTATGGATGCATGGGGACTGACCAATTAAAAGACAATGAGGAATATGATCACGACTGGACAGGCCCGGTCACGCATTTTGTCACACTATAAAATGATCCAATGTGAAGATTTATTATTCTTAATAATATAAATATATATATAAAAGAGAAATCACTTTTATTTGTGGATATTACAGGGAAGAATTGATTTGGTTAATAAAGTCCTTAGTCATGTTTGCACATATTTTGTTTTGATTAGGAAATGGAGTCTCTGTTGATCTTTCTCTGTGTCCCATTCTATGATGGTGCAATATGAAAAAAAAGATATGAAAAGTATATGAAAACTATTGATCTATACTGTACTGTAATGATGAAAAATAACTATGTTGTGAGTATACTTACAGGGCCGGACACACTCCAGCTGTGTATTCAGGTGTAGTTTACCACTGCTTGTTTGCCAGGGTGGTAAATGATGTTAGCTAGAACAGGGAGCCTATAGAGGACGGATTGCACTTCACCACATCCCAACTCAAGTGTGTCCAGATAGATCCCCCTGCGATCAGTGCACTAGGTAGAGCCTTCAAGGCTCTCACTATCCTCAGTAGATTTACTGTTGCTGCATTGCAGTGATGCTCCTGTACAGGGAAGAAAAATAATGAAAAAAAAACGTGAGACAATCCAGCAGAATCCCCCCTTCAAACCAAACCTACAAAGTCTATGGGAAATATCTGAAAAAAAACCATGTGGATATAAGTAAGAAGTTGTTTATTTGGTCTGTCTGCCCTGGCCCATTTCTGTTATTTCTGTTTCTATGAGTTAGTCTGAACAGAGACAGGAGAGTTTGATCCAAAATGCTGTGACGTCATTCTGTCGATTTCTATGATTAGTTTCTACGATTAACTGTCTTCATGATGATTCTACATTTTTAACAAGAAAAATAAATGTCACTTTTTTATTTTTAACATGAGTGTTCACCATGGTGGCACTGGAATAAAGAGTAACTAACACCAAGTTCAAATTTGATGAATAAAATGGCTGTTCCCCAACATTTCCTTCCCGGCTTTGACGTGAGTGACTGTGGTGGAGGTGACTGGTGTGGAGGTGAGGTGAAGTGTCGTCACTGGAGCTCCATCATGACACCTTAATGGTATGAGAAGATTTCATCCTCTCCAAGTCAGGTTTTCCAGTCACATTTAATCACGCTCTTCTGTGGTTGTGTGGTTGTTCTTCCTGCAGGGGGCAGTGCTGTAGTAACTTGTTCTCTTATCTAATATCTAAACATTCTTTTTTCTTTGCTCTTTTTTCTTTGCTCAGGAAAGTTTTCTGTGTGCGTGATTTGCTTTATACATAATTCGGGACCATCTCAGAATTTTAAATGTTTTTGTTTTGGTTTATTTTTCAATTAAAAGTATTTCCCATGTGTTTTCATACAGGTCAAAGGAAAGTTTTACCTAAAGCACTATTAATAGACGAGCTTTTCTAGAAAGTGTTTATTATTTATCTTTGCAAATACAAATAAAGCTTTTTAAAAATATTTATCTTATTTTATAGACTGTGAATAAAAATAATAACTCTTAAAAAATTCCGTATACAAACAATTATCAATGGTTGTCAAAGAATTATGACAAAGCACAGCTTTAATGTGTGAAGAGTCTGAATAAGACACTATTAAGAGGTTTAAGATTGGTTCTCAAACTATGGTATGCACAACACTGGTCCTTGGGCCTGCCCTGTATAGTAAGCCATATTCATATATATATTGACTATATATATATAAACATAGATATATCATCTTGGAAAAATTACATGGCTGACTTTCTGTCTGTCTGAATTATTTAGATTATTAGTTATTTTTCTGTTTGACGGGGAAACATTTGCGGTGAGTCGCAGTCCGACTGTAATTACCTCAACAGCCGCATCAAACTCTGTTTCTCATTATAGACAAGTCTCCGTCATCGTCGTCATCACACCACATCCGGTGTAGTTACGTCACACAAATGCGCCAAAAATGAGCAGGCGAAATAAATAAATGAATGTCTAAATAAAGCGCTCGCGGCGTGTGACGTCAGACGCTGAAAACGTTCGCCGCTCGCTTTAAACGCCGTTATTCCTAAACTGGTCCGGCTGAAAGGCTGTGATAGAAAGGTATGTGACCTTAGATTTTTACCTACTGTTGGTGTTCTAAGTGTATTTTATTTAACGAGCTTAGACTTCACTTACAGTGGAAGAAACGTTTGTTTACTTTGCTGAAACGTAATTATAAATGGACTGACTCATGTGAGACTGTGTGTGGAGAATGTTGTTTTACATATTGAGTCATATTTCACCATTTTAGTGTTTAAAGTACAGCTTCAGTGTTTCTACAGTACATTTTGTACCAGAAACTGTTTACATGATGTTAAACGTGTAATCAACCATGTCTGAAATGAACAGATATGTTGGGATTTCTGTGCAGGGAGACCAGGTTGAAGTTGTCCAGCGTCAGAGAACACTCCTGAAACTGAAAGACAAGGTGAGCCACCTGTGGAGTCAAACTCAGGTTTAATATTAAATAAGAAAGTAATTGTTTGACAAATGTTGTGCACCAAAACTTCAGTACTTAACATTCTCTTCTGTGACTTTGTTTTATTTTCCAGATTGGTCATCCTGAAGATCTTCAACACAGTAGGGAACCTCGTTTTTCTTTTATTCTCTGCGACTGCCTTGCCGCTGCTGTGCTCTGATAGGCTGCTGCTATTGCTGCTGTTCTCTGATAGGCTGCCGTGCCTGCTGCGTGTGCGTGTTTTTCAGTGTGTGAAACATAGCATTATAAACAGCACATTGCCACCTCTATCTGTTGTCTTGTTTGTTTCCTTTCTGTTTCTCCAGTCTTACATTTATAAACTGTGGAATCTGGGTTTTGGAGCCAGAGCCATAACCAGGAGGATGGTTAGTCAGTCAGTGCTGTGAGTCAGCTGGATGGCTCTGTGCTCAAGGTTGTTGTGACTCTGGTCCCATTTAATGGTGTGAAGTTGGACTTTCCAAAATCAGACTTGGATCCATCTGATGTTGTACCATCCAACATCACCCTCCATGATCAAACATGTGTAGTTATCTTATCAGTGGCATTTGGTTATATCAATGAGTTATACACGAGAAGCCATGATTCTTTTCTTAAATAAAATTATATGAATTGAAGAAAAGGAAAATGTCTACTGAAGTCATCATTCAGTAGGATGGTGCCAAGTTGAACATGGACTTTATTCATACAGAGTTAATTTCAAAATGAAGTGACCTGAGGTCCTGTACAGGAGAGGACACACTGAGTGAATCCAGTTATGCACAATTGTTTATGACACAAGGAGACCTGCAGTTTTACTGAACATGCTTTGTACTTAAATATATAACTATTAACATTTCTTAAACTCTAATTGAAAATGCATGCATACCTTCATCATGTCTTCTCACCATATGCACGTGTGCACATGTTTGTGCAAGGCAGCATGCATAGGCATGTGCTTGTAAAATATGCGTGTGAAAATGCAAAGAAGAAGTGGTTGAATCCAATTGAAACACAAATGGAATGTAGAAATACAGCGGGAATCAAAGAGTCTCGACAAAAAAAGACAGACAGTTTGGTTCTGGTCGAAGGATTCAGTACAATAAAATGAATCAGCACATTTTTAAACAATAGTCCACAGTGATGATAACATGGGGCGGACTAATGTAAGTGTTTGGAAGTTAGGAAAAAAATCACAGAGTAGAGATTTAAATACACAGACTTAGATTTTGACATAACTACTGAACATAATCTTCATTCAAAACAATAACTCACAGACTATCACGATGATACTGTTGGACCTTTTGTCACCCCGTTGCCCACACCCACCCCTCTGAGTTCATTGCAGTGCAGGTTAATTAACATGCTAAACCCCTAGCGAAGACAGCGCCGACAGCATTCACTTGATCACTTTACATCCTGCTTCTTTTTCTGGAATTTCCTGAACTGTGACTGAATGGTGGCTGCAGCCTTGGCCGTCTCTGGAGCGTCCATGTCGATGTCAAAGTCTTCTGGCAGGTTGTCCTTCTGGTCATCTGCACACATTTATGGGCACATGGATGTAAGAATCCAATAGTAGTACTGACTCCAGTAGTGATCACAGTCGTTAAACAACATTTCTTCTGAATTCCAGGTTTGGTGGAACTTTGTGCTGACCTTGAGTCCTGAGATGGTCCTCAGAAACAGTTACCTGTTTCAAACCCTATGTTTGTTAGCAGAGTTCATTAACTTTACACCAGAGGGAGTTGAAACCCTGCAAGGCTTGAACATCTGTAACGTTATTCCCTGCTGCAGAAATGAATCACACTGGCACAAAGGATGATGGGATTACTTCCACGAGAAGTTCGTGAAAGGTCATGTTTAAATTGGTTCCCATGTGATTTGAGGCAACTGTGGAATAGCTCTGTGTGATTGATGGTGGTCTTAAAAACTACTCAGCAACTAAACCAGACAAACTTAGAATGTATGATATATGTATTCATTCTTTAATGTATTTTACAATATAATTAAACTAACTACAGCATACAAATGTCTTTTATATATACAGTGTATGTGTGTGTGTATATATGTACATACATATGTCTATATAAAAACATATTTGTACCAGTTCTTTTAAAGTATGCTGTAGTTAGTTTAATTATATTGTAAGACAAGATTTGAAAATGTAAGCCAGCCACATTTTATTTTACGGTATTTCAGGAAAGCGTATTTACCAGAAACCATGTAATTCTTAAAGCTTCGTCAGCATCTGATCATAGAATAAGCCAGTGAAGATGACAAAAATAATCCCCACTGTTCTCACCTGAGCTGAGACTGTAAGAGTCATTCACTCCATTAGAAACCAGCCTTTCTTCTTGTGCCTCTAATTCTGCTTGGATGACAGTTCTGCCTTCTTTTATACATCTTTCCAGGGTCTCGCCAAGTACTGCAAGTCCAATTTTACGCTTTAAAACTCAAGGGATTTGAATAACATTATTGCACCAAAAATATCGTGGCCTAGTTTTGAAAGTAGGTCCTGCTGGAAATTGATACGCTGGCAGAGGAGACCATGACCAGTGTGGGCTGTTCTTTCATATAAATGTATTCTAATTTATTCCTCCAGCAGAATGTCTTAATGAATCTATAGCATGATGTTTTACTTAGTGTGTTATGGTCACAAGAATCATTTCTGAACATGTGTATTTTATCGTGTTATTATTATTTTAATACCAGTCCACGGCCAAAGGTTAACCTGCAGCTGTTGTTTTGGTAGTTTAGTTATTCACTTTTAAATGGTTTTACATGAAGTGGTTTGTCCATCACAGAGGAACAGACCAACAACCTCTTTATTCATCAATCATTCCATTTGATCAATGACTAAAGTTGCATTATTTTTTTTTTTATTTTGTTTAATAAATACGTTATTATGGTTCCATCCTTGGATATGCTGAGCACCCTGAAATTAAAAAAATCTAAAATCATTATTTTCTGAGCAGGATGGTCAACACATACCTTGGCCAGCTGATGGGTTGCTGTTTCCTGGTGCAGTTGTTGCTGTTCCAGATTTTTGTCTCTGCAAATGCAACAAAACGAAAATTATCATAGAAATGCATAGAAACCACATAGAGATGATCGTTCTTTTCTTTTTAAAACACATTAACATAACAACAGCATAAAGTGATTATAAAACATTCGCTCCAACAGAAAGAGTATCACAGTTATTTATAACAGCCAATTAAAATTTTCTGCAGGACATGTTCAGGCCCTTCTCCCCTAACAGTAGCAAATCCGTCTCTCAGAGTCTGACTTGTTTCAGGGATGTTGACGATGGATCATCCCAAAAAAAAAAAAAACCAGTTGTGATTTGACTTAGTCAAGAAGAAAAGAAAAAAAACAAGACAAAACTGGTTAAAGAAACACAATATCCTCCTGTCATTGCTGCATGATCCGTCAGCTCAGACATCACTGTGTGCAGTGCAACCTTCATCTGATTTTCTGGTCCCATTCACTGCTTATTTACCAAGTAATGCAGCAGGAGAGCAGCAGTGCCCCGCAGTGATGATGGCAGATAGTGCACTTCCATAATGAGTGAGGATCAGCTGTAATATGTGAGGGATTCTCTTGTCACTAGACAATACTGGAAAATCAAGACAAATGCACACATTTGTTATTGATAACCAGCTGCAGGACGGACTTTTCTGATGTTTGCCGCTGTCATCAGAATCCATTTCCCTTCACTCCACTCTGATTTATTGCATCCCTGAAGCCTTTAGTGACACTGGCGTACATTTTAGGACGGGATTATTGCTCTCATATTTCAGTGTTTTAGACTTCCTGTGTATTTGGTCCCTGTTCAGCTCAAACACTTTGGTGAAAATAAAACTCTTTGTTCACACCTTCCTTTGATGCTATTTGTGTGGCTGTGTTGTTATAAAAAGGACATTATTTTTATCTCAAACAAAGCAGTCCAGACTTAAAATAACCAACTTTAATTATCACACAAGGCTATTTGTGCTCATGTCATGAAATATAAAAATAGATGTTCTCACATAAATTTGATATAGTTATAAAGTGACAGCCATATCAGAATGATTAATCTGGAAGTCTGCTGGTCACAGAGGTGTCCTTACATTTACAATAGTATTGGAAGAAATTAGTTCAAAATAATCATAAAAATAATGCCATAGAGCAGCCAAAGTAAATACAAAAAAAAATTGTATTTCCTTGCTACTTTCTATCTTTAAAATGCAATACATTACAGTTGTATTACACTACAGTGTGTGTTAGAGATGAGAACAGATGAGAACAGATGAGAATATATACATTCCACAGCTGCTGTTTGAAAATATCCAAAAAACTGATCAATCTTGGCAGATACAAACAGATATGAAAGGCGGTCGACAGGTCAGATTGATGCAGATTAGTTTGTGGTGTCTTTTCTACACCGTCTGTCTTAGCAGGTTGCCAATTTCAAACATTTTACTTTCTTTTACATCTGTCAACAGTGACAAGGACTTCGGGCTTGTCACTGGGCAAAGGAGATCTTGTTCTTGGAAATTGCAACAAAACTTTAAATACTTCATATCCATTTTATGGGGGTTGTGTTTTTTCCTGTTTCGAGTACCACAATTTAATTACATTACTGCAGCTTTCTCTAAGAATAAATGAATTAACACCATGTTCTACTGAGGCTATTTTTAGTTCTTGCAGCTCGAGCTCCGAGGAGAGACTCACTGCTGTGTTTGGATCTTTATACAATTAAACGTTGAGACTGCCAAACGAGGACCCAACTAATTGAAGTACGAGTACAAAACCCGTGCAGACTCCTGTCTGCCACGATTGAGTTGTTCGACTGTATCGAACATTGATGTTTCTTTCTATAGCAGGGTGTCTGACTAAATTTGCCATGGTTTTTTTTTCAGTGAAGACTGGATTGTTACAAATACAAATTAAAACTAGGAGGAAAAAGTGCTACATGAAAACATGCTGCCCTCTGAGTTCTTGTAAATAAATACTTAAATATTAAATCACAGCAACGTACAGCCATAAAAATAATTTTCTTTTTCGTACAGAAAGGTTTTGTTGCCAGAATATGAAATTATAAAAAGAACATTCTCTACTGCTCTGTTAACCATCTGCTGAATTTTGACTGGGAATAGATCCAGCCTCCACAGCAGTGCAGTGACTAAAGGGAGCAGATAAACCATTTCAGTAAAAGGAAACAAATGCAATGTATTTATTACCTACATTGATTTGTTTAGCAACAGGCAACCAATAACTGAACAAATGTACTGTAACCTGGTACGAAGCAGAAAGACTTTTTTAATCAGTGTAACAACTAGACTTCCTTATCACTCTTTGAATCCTGCGTTTTAATTGGTTGTCATCATTCTCTGATGTTGATGTAGTTTTTAGTAGCAGTTTTACTGCACTCTGCTCAGTTTCCTCCAGTGTCAACCACTGTCCTCCATAGAAAACCACCAGAAACCAGGATTAGACCTAACACTGTGTTATGGCGAGAGAAGGCAACACCCAAGCCTTGAGACCCTTTGGCTGGATTACAGATTATTTCACAGTAATCCATGGCTATATTTTAAACTGGGATTGAGGTCAAAATGTCTCCTAACAAATTAGAGTGAGTCATAAATTACAGTGCGTTTGGTAAATTAAAAAAACTCATATCATCAATCATAAAAGCTGTGAATGATCTTTTTCCACTGGACTGCAGCAGGTTTCAGTTTTTTATAAACCACTTCAGTAACATGTGGTAACAGAGTTCTAATGGAAATCCTTCTCCAACCTTTTCACCACTTCAACTGTTCAACATTTCTCCTCAGATCAGCAACTTCTGACGCTCGTATCTCATTCATTTGATAAAAAGGGCTTGGATCCACTCTGGATGATGAAACAAATGGCTGTGCCAAGTACCCACTGAACTCCCTGTAATTAAAGCATGAAAAGGTGAACGCAGCATGTAACCTCTTAAAATTGATGCAGTGATTGAAAGACAGCTCAGCTGTAAATCCCTGACATGGCCGTCAACACAGCCAAAGGCAGTCTTTATATAATTACATAGTTAGACTGGTTCATGCTGATGAGTTAAGAATTAACAATTCAATATTCATTAACTGCCATAGCATGAAGTAACTTAATATCCAACAACTGTACAGTATATGTACTAGTACAGTAAGTACAGTACAGGGTACTGCGATGATGTTGCAGCACTTACAGTCGTATTACTTACAAACCCTTTTAACCAGAATCTTTGCTGCAGAAGCAAAGTTATGTAAACTCTAGAACAAACAATAAACATACATTTTATTTTATTATTATTTTTACTTATATGTCCTTATGGCATAAAATAAATCCTGCAGTATTTACTCAACTACATTAACGTTAATACTTTCTGGATTGTGTACAGTAGAAGCAATGGTAGTACATCACCAGAATAAGATTTATGGAATCGAAAAATGAATAATAGCACAGTAAATATTATAATTGTCCATTTTTGCAATATTATCCTTGTCTTTAATAACCATGGGGCCTGTTTAAAAGATACTAAGGAAACATTTCCTCCCAAATCTTGTCTGAATTGTTCAAACTGGGGGAGAAATGGTTTTAAAAACATACTGCAGTATTTTCTTCTTGGAGAAAATATTCCTTTCAAAGATACACAAGTCCATAACTGACATTAAAGCACCAATACTTTCCCTGTGTTTTTGTATACAGATCTATACATTCATCTCCTGCTGTTTAATCATGTACGGGGTTTGCAGCAGAAGCTGGGGCCAATCCCAGCAGTCATTGGCTGAGGGAGGGGTCCCACCCTGGACAGTCCAGCAGTCCATCATGAATAGTGGCAAATAACCCACACGTGTAAACGTGCTGGGGCGAGAAATCTACTGCATATATCTCATCCTGCATCCTTTTTTTCTGTATTTTTATATTTGTTGTTGTTAAATATGGATGAAGGTTGTCCCCCTCCGACCATCCATGCAGAGCTTGCATCAGTATAGACCACACCTGCAGCTGGACATTTATGACCAGGACAGGAAAGAACAGCAGAATGTCTCACAGTGAGGTCTTTAAAGACGTCTGTAGAGTTTGCTGTTTGGTTTCTCACAGCAAGCACTGAATAATTCAGTATCTTTGGGACCTGCTGTCTAAAGTTGGTCATTTCCTAGAGAAGATTCAAAATAAAGGTTTTTTTAAAAAACCTTTATTATATATATATATATAAAGATATATATATATATACACACACACATATATACACAGTATATATATGGAGGATGAAGCACAGACCACTGTAAGACCTGTAGCTATAGAGTATAACATCATAATACACCTTTAACACATACATACATACAGTACTTATATAACAGTACGTGTACATTCATATTGGCAAATATCACATCAACTTTCATTGAAGTATTTGATACCCATAAAGCGTTTCGGCTCTGCTTTACTTCATCACAGCCAGCGGTCTGGGGAATATTTGCAGCAAAACTATAACAATGCAGTAATATAGTAGCGCCTAAAACTATGGCAGTGGGTATTTTCCAATGTTGCTCTCCAAGTATATATATCACAAGTTATATGCCCGGTCGTTTTTTAAACAATATTGCATTGTTCAGGGCTTAAAAAATACATGAATAATTATAGGGAGTGAACGTATCCGTACAGAAACACATACCTCACTCATGACTGCTGCTCTGCTCTGTCTCCGTCCCCGGCTGCTGCTCTGCTCTGTGGAGGAGGTGCACTGCTAAGACGATGCGCTCGCTCCCAGTGTGGACTGCCTTTAAATAGAGCTGCTCTCCTCAGTGTTTTCATCCAAACCAATGAGCTTTGTGGTTATAATGAACGCCCGCCTTTTTATTTATAAAAGCTGGCTCGGATTTGGTGAACTGCCCTCTCTTTTTAAATGAGTTGGTGTATTTCTAAGCAAGGAAAACAGACATTAAAAATTCACACTGCAGCACTGTGCTTAATGAGCTTCCCAACAATATGGCCCTCAAAATTAACACGTTAATTGCTTTTATTGATTAGTGAAATTAATCAGATTTTACTTTACAGGATAAACTGCACTGAATGCATTAAATGATCATTGTTCTAATAAACAGCATGTCAGTGTCCAACGTGCATCTGTGAAGGCCTCATCAACATCACTCATCAACTCTGTGACAGGAAAATACTTTTATTCTCATTTAATTTTCCACATTAAAAATTCCTTCATTTGAATTAGTTAAAAATAAAACACACATGTACCTGCTGTTATTTGACTTGGATTCTATTCTACTCTCTCTCTCCCTCTCCCTCTCTCTCACTCTGCCACTTTGTGTGTTTCATTCATCAGCATTAATCATGCTGACTTGGCATAAATCAGTCACTCTTTAATCAGTGCACTCCGCAGCCCAGAGATCCGGTGGAGTCAGAGTCCCTGGGGATCCATGTTTTGGAACTAATTGATCGTCAAGTCAGCCTGAGAATTGATTTATTTGGACCACCAATAGAGGCAGCATCTCATCGCCCCGTTGAATTAAAGTGTATCTCTAGAGCGAGGCAGGGAGAAGGCGTGATTCAGAATGTCATCTTTATCAAAGCCATTTCCATGTCTTTGATTAATGCCTCTGAACAAAGTTATTGTCTTATTATTATCCTGTTTTCATGATTCCTATGAAAACGTCCAGTACTGATGGCAATGCAACACACTGTCGTAGCCCTGCAGGCCGGTGATTTTTCAAAAGTATAATGTTTTTAAAAATTATAAGCAGGCCTTAAATATAAATCACCTTGTTAATATTCATCACCATGGCTCCAGCTATTCTTAATAATTGGTTGTATTCCTTAACTCTTTCATCAATCACCAGCATGGAGTTTAATTCATTGTGTGTGTAGAGTGTATGTGAGATGAGAGAAACAGGATCCAATTATGATAAAATACTCATTAGTCTGATATACAGTGCACATAGCTCCATAATTTAAAAACAGAACGCCTAGGCTGATCCTAACACTATTACTGTCACGACAAAAAACAAAACGAAGTGTAAGGCAGAGCATGTTTGATCCAGTATTCCTACAGTTTACGGTGGATTCACAAATACTGGGAAAAACACTGCTATCAGGTGTGCTTTAGCGCCCTCTATCTATGTCGCTAACTCCCACTCCATTTTCATAACAGGTTTTTTTTCACCATGCATGTGTTGTTAAAGAACTAGCATTTTATATTATTTTTGCACATGCATAGACACCAGTGTGTTCATGAAATCAAGGCTTTATTTGTACAAAGTTATACTTTTGTGTTATGAAGGTTTTTTAAGGGTTTCTGTTAAGAATTAATCTCTATAACTATCTTTGTTGAGTAACAGTGAAAGTTTTGTTCTACTGTAAGGAACTGTATGGCCAACAGACGTGATGCTCTGCCAGTTGTTTAAGCTGAAACAGCAGTGCATCATCTGCATAAAGAACACAAGGTCACATTAAATTAAATTAAATGAAATGAAACCCCTCATTAGCTCAGAGAGATAACAGTGAACTCCTCTACAGCAGAGTAAACATCAGATTAGTTATCAACACTGACCGATGGCATCTCTTTGCCTTATAGCTGATCCCAGAGCTTGGCCGAGGCCAGGCATCCTGACCCAGCCCTCTGTTCCACTTTCCTTTCTGCTGAGTCAGCACCGAACCAGTACCACAGGGTCAGAGTAGACACGGCTCAACAAAAGAAAAATATATTCCCACACGGTGGCACTGCAGAGACACTTTCTGACTCTTGACCCTGTCTATTGAAGTACCATAGGAGTGCCTTTTATTTTTTTTATCTTTTTTTGGTCTTTAACCAAAAGTGCTCTTCAGATAAAGGGTAATAAAAAAGATTCATTTAGACAGTGTTTTCTGACTTCAGAGATTCAATTTACAAGTTCGTTTTTTGGTTGTTGTTCTTTTTCCATGCAAATGTATTAATTATGAACCCATTCTTTATTATTGCAGGCCACTCAAACACAGTTATGACAATAGAAACACAGGTTATTATGAAAAAAAAAGAGATATTTTATTGACATGACTTTGATTTGTGACATTATAATGTTGAGCGATACCTGACAATGACAGCTGCGGAAGAACAGAGAGTGAAAACAGTAGGTGTTACATAAATAATAAACTCTGACTAATGGCATGGTTTCATATACATTAACTGATAAGTACTTATTTCAAAACAGTACCGTTGAGTCAACCAACAGTTCAGATGGTGGTAGTTTGTTCATTGTGCTCCTGAGCTTTGGTCCAACGTGGCTTTCACAAAACTGCAGAAACAAGTTGTTTCCATTGTAAACGGAACAACAACGAACACTTTGTTACAACAACTTAACAACAGGTAGGGAGAAATGTCAACAAAGGTGTTCTTCTGTCCTGTTTCTCTAGTCGTCAGATCTTGGGCTTTCTTTAGGCTCCGTGATGATGAACATCTTTGTTATGTGTTGTCTTCTCCCAGGCCTTACACTACAGTAACATGTCTGTGTTTTTTCATGCCTAGTTCACCCACAGGGATGTTGGCAAGATTGTAGTAATTTCCTGTGTGGTTACTGTTGACAATATCAGGCATCTAAAAACAAAAACATTATATGTGTTATTTGCTAATCCAAATAAACTGGGGAAATAACTGATCTTGTTACTTCACCTGTTTTTATAAGACGGCAAACTCTGAAACTGCTGCAAACAATTTAAATGAGAAGCCACACGGGGCAGTATACCAGAAGAAGATGATTGTTTTTACTGTTGTCATATTAAGAATGTTGATTTATCTTAAATAATCATGATTATTATTATTTCAACTAATTGCCCCAGAATGCATGAGTTAAGTTAATAGATACATTTGTGTATGATAACGTATATTTTTTCTTCCATTCCGTTCTAAAAGGGTCTTCTAGACACATGAACATAAACATGGTTTTGACTTTGTTTTTCATCAGTACTGCATTTCCTACCTGATAAATGTGTTCTTTTGTCTGATGGAATCCACTGTCTGTGTTTTCACTGGGAGTGACACCTGTGCTCCGAGATGAGAAACAGGGAAATGATCTGTTACAACTAAACAGGCTAAAACGGTTTGATCCTAATGTGTTCACGTGTACTCACTCGTTTGATCATCTGGTGCAGATCCTGCCTTTACAGTACCTTGTCTTTGTACAGTGGCACTGACGCTGCTGATCTGGCTCTGTGTCCTCACTCTGTGACTGCCCACATACATTTAAGACAACGACCACATTTAACTGTGTGGAAACATGCTAGAGCAGGGAACCAAATGTCTGTTACTGTGGATTCTTACCTCATTTCTCTTTGGTAGTTGGGTTCTGGAAAAGTACAGGACATTAGTTTTATAAGTTTATATCATATCATTATTATATAGTATAACTTAATTCCAAATAAAAGTGACATTACTAATTTACTCTCTCTAGGTAACGCACCTGTAGTCTAATAAGAACTAATGCCCTCACTTTTTTCTTATTAAGAGCTGCACCTCTTAATAATTTAATATATACAATATAAATAAACTATATCTAATAATACATAAAGACTACTAATTAGGAATATCCTGACATGGTGAGAGTTGTGTTCCAAGATTTTTTCTCACTTTTTTCTTTCCTGCGTTTGTAGCAGAACATAATTCCCAGGATGAGTAGAACCAACAGAGCGAAAAGGCTAAATGACAGGACCACAGCGATCAGCACCGTCCAGTCAGGAGGCTTGGCAACTGTTGCAGGAATGACTGGTTTTTAATATGAGTGGAAAGAAATTGCAGAAATATTCCACAGTACAACCACAATGCATTGATGAAAAAGAAAATGTGTATTTTTTAATAATTAAGTGATAATGTAAAGATCCAGATGGAGGTGGAACAACATTGGTGTGTATATATGTATGTATGTCTAAATTTAGACAAACTGTAATCACTGATCAACTTGTAACAGTATATATTATATACTGTATATTCACAGGTGGAAAGTAACACATTACATTTACTCAGGTTACTGTCATTAAGTAGTTTTTGTGAGTATTTGGTAATGTTTTAAGAAGTTTTGGGCATAGGTAATTCTACTTTTACTTAAGTACATAGTCGACTGCATTAAGTATTTGACTGAGTTGATTTTTTAGATTGGTACTTTTACTAGTGTAGAATTTAAGCAAAGTAAAGATACTTAATTACATTTTTAAGTACTTTTCCACTTATGGACACACTGGAATAAAGTAAAGTTTCTTACAAACCACCAAGAAGACAGAACTGGATACTGGGTTTGTCAGTGACAACACAGTAGCCTGACAGGCCACTGTTGTATTGTTGACTGCCTTAAACGTGAAGACGCTGGTGGCGTTGAAATATCTCCCATCTTCCATGCTGCTGGTGTTGAACAGGCTGCTGTCCACGGGATGACCATTCTGGGTCCAGGTTATGCTTGGTGCAGGAAACCAAGCAGTTGCAACACACAGGAACTCCACCTGCTCGTCCTCTGTTGCCTTTTCATTTCCTTTCACAATGTTGACCGTGCCACTCTCTGAGAAAGAAAACACTGATAATGGATGGAGAGATGGATGGTTTGTTTTGTAGTTACAAGGCGCTGGCAAAGAAGTTAAAATGCTGCTCACTGATCAAACTCTGCATACAGTGGTCTTTGTGGTTGACTTTCCAAATGTGATATACAAATCAAATATTTACTTAGTAGTATTTTGTTATTTATTTAATCAGGTAAATGACATGACCACAGCGTCTAGAGATTACGTTCTAAATGTGTGCTGTAGTAGAACAGCCTTCTGTAGTGTTTCTCAGCTCTTGTGGGAAACATTGTTTAGCACTCGAACAGTTAATGTCCCTCATTTACACCAACATGAAGAAGAGCAATCAATGTGCTCAACTGGCAGTTCAATTAAGTGGATTTATTAGCTTCAGCTGCAGGCTGTGGTACATGCCAGGAGAATATGTCTGTAATTATGGAGGTCCTAATCAGCAGTATGAGATACGACTCCTGCACTTTCAAAATCAATTTTCATTTACAACAAAGGTCCAGAGATGAGAGAGCCAGACGTTTCATAATTAGATTACCTTCAGATTACTGTCAGGTTTAGATGTTTATGTGCACGAGGTGGTAGTGTTTATATTTGTTAACTGGATTTATCTTATTAGTAAATCAGTTTGAGACAGGTTAAAAACTCTGTGTCTTAAAAGAGAAAAAATAAAATAACTTGACTTGTTTTAGATTTCAACACATTATAAAAAGTATTGAAAAATAGCTGACCTTCCCTTTGTTTCTAGCAAAGATTACAAAAATAATTACAGTGACCTGAACAGGATTTTGAAACTGTATGACCATAGGACTCATCCACACTCCACTGAACATTTCTCTTTGATGAATGTGATGCAAAAGTGAGTCTAATACAGGGCAGTATTATTTTAATATAAATTATTTTATATTTTAAAGAGTTAGTGGTTAAGATTTTTTTTTCAATGGCTTTGTGTGTCATTGTAAGAGCTTTAAAATTATTTTTTTTTAATTAAAACAAATTACATCATCATCATCAGAGGGTGGGTTAACGTTACTGTTCATTTTGTTTTCAGAGAATGCAGTGTTAAGTAAAAACCAGCACTCTGCTGCTCCCTGCAGGATATCCTTATATCACGCCAGTGCTTTCAGTTCAACATCAGTAGCGTTGTGAGCTGTCTTTTCTTTTTCTTTTTTTCTTTCTTTTTGCATCAGAATGACTCACAGATCACCTACTTTCCTTCCTCACCTTGGACAGAGAGCTGCGCTACTTCTGATCCATACTCGCCCAGCACAGTGCAGGTAACAGGCCCAGAGAACTCCCTGGTTACATTATGAATGTTGAACTGGACACAGTTGGTCTCACCAGGGGTGCAGAATTGTGCAGAATACCGTTCTGATGCTGAAGTGATGTTTCCAATAACAGGGACATTGAGGACAAAGCAGTCTTTGACGAACCACGTCATGATCTTCCAGCGTCCTTCAACAGTGGCATTGAATTGAGCATCAAATCCTTGAAGAGTAGTTAAATTTAGTGGCTCCAGCAGGAACTGTTGTGGCACCACTAAGAACAGAAACAACAAATATAAGGACAAATAAATAAAATAAAAAACTTTAAAGGGAGTTTATTTTATTTTTAACAAATAATTTAATTGTATTCTTGTAATAATTCTCAATTACTTTGTCAGAAGAATTCAACCTAAATGAGAAGTGTTCACTGAAGATCTACAGACGATTATTTAAAGTCTTCAGTCATTTTAACAGAGCCTAGAGGTATGTGGCATGTTTTGCGTGAAGATGTTGACCTGTAGTAAATTATGTCCTGGAATTCAACACGAGACCTGTTGGTTTGAAGCCGGCCAATACATCACTGCCTCGACAAAGGGCACTGGGCATGGCCTGATAGAAGCACATCACTTGAGACATGTTTGAGTTTGCTCAAGGAACATAAAAGTTACACAGGGCATTGATTTTGTGTTGTTGGTTTTTGACAAGGGTGAAACTCAAACACAACAGTGATGTGGACAGATTCCTGAGCATCAGCTGAGTCTAACTCTGAACTGTGAACAGTTCCATCACTGTTGCTTCTATATGACAAATAAAAGAAAAAACGAATATTAAGGTAGAATTACAAATTATACTGAGGAACTATTTTCAGGGGCCATAGTCTGGTGGTTAAAAACTGAGGCTAAAACCTGAACAGGCGGTGGTTAGTGTTTAGCACACTTGCTACATAGAGTACATCATTGAACTAATACTAACATTCATGTCTGATACAATGCTACAAGACATGAGCAGGTTTGTGTTTGTGTCTATTAACATGAGGCGTGTGTACTGTTAAGCTGCTGAAACTGTAGATTTTTAATTTTCGCTTTATGAATGTTACCATTTACGCCATTACTCAAACTGTTTTTCCAAACCAGTCACCTAAGATAACAATTGAACATTAATTTCCTGTGTGCACAACAAATATTCCAGGTAATGTAAGAAACAAACACAGGTTTACTAAGAAATTCAGATTTGTGTGAAGCAGGTAAAGAGCAAACTATTTTAAATGGTGTTTAGTCTTACTAGTGTTTAATTATAGTTTTAATTATGCAATACGGATTTTCTGTGTTATTATTTCCTCCTCCCTGCTATGTCAATATTATAGTCAGTCAGACTCACTTGGTTTTCATTAGTCTTATTTCATTTGAATTTCCATCATCTATATAAAACCATTCCATTGCCACCTTTATCATGGCCACTGGTGCTTAATTAAGACAGGCAGTTTGGAAATATCCTGCAGTTTTTCACCTACAGACTTTATACATGGTTATCTAGAGAATAAATCCTAACCTTTATGTGCACACTGAAGTAAACATAGGTAAAGGAAGATGGAGCAGGATTTCCAGGGAACATTCATGCTGGTGTGTTTTCCTGGAAGAAGACAGATGGAGCTGAGAGAATGTTCAGCAACAGGCACTGTTCAGAAACATGTACAGAAAGTGCTCCAAAAAAAAGAGAGGAAACTTTTAGATTAAAACAATAATTTATCCCCAATGTTTTTGTCAAGTACCTGGTCTGTATGATATTAAATCATATATATAAAAGATGACAAATGGAAATTATATACAGTTATAACAAAACCAGGCGTATGTTGTACACACACACACACACACACACACGTATACAGTAGCACAAAATACACTATGCTGTAGCAGAGTGAAACTGCACTATAGTGTCTCATTTTTAATACTTTCTGATTTGTTAATATTAAAAATATTTTAAAATGTTTGCCAATCATTTGGTAGAATAGTGTACTACCACTTCATTACCACAAGAGCAACTTATGAACACCATTATACACAACCTTTCTCCAACATATGCTAGTGTTTTACATAATGTCTTTAATTCATGTAAGGAATGAAATCGTCACCCGCCTCTCTGTATTCACAACTAAATAATCCTTACAGTTAGCAGCATCTTGGGTTAAACAGACTTACTGTGAGTGATAGCTCCAACTGTGCTCATACGAGATGAAGGTTCTATTTCCTGGAAAAGCAGTGAGCGGCACGACTCCACCTGTAGCTATGAAACTCACAGAGATCAAGGTTCACACCTGGCCACTGAGACTGAGCCATAATCTATACAACCTACCTGTCAGGGAGTAATGGTGGGCGTGAGTCATGTAGCTGTGTGTGTATGTGTGCATCTCTACATGATGTTAGGCTCTGTCAACATTTTTTTAAAACAGTCATCTTAAAACGGATGTGTATTTAAAATTATAACAATTCATTGTTGAACTTGTGTTTAGTTTTTTTGGTAAATAACCTAAATAGTCCTGAATAACTGCAGTTGCTTGGATAATACTATTTACCTTGTTGGCAAGAATTGGCTTGTTCCTTAACTTTAAATATGTAAGTGTTATCACTCTTATGATGGAAATCTTCATTTGTTGCTTTTTGTGTGTTTGTGTACACTGCTTTTTTGACATCTATATTATATATTAATTTGATTTGATTTAATTTTTGTTGCCTATTTACATTTTTATTTGTGTCCCTATCACATGCTATTAGCCTTAAATCCTGCGGTGTTAAATGTGAATTCCATCCTCCTGAAGACAAAACTATCTTTGTGAAGTTGCCCTGCTCTGAAATCAGCATATGTCCTGGTTGATATATTTTAAATGGATTCAAAGCCAGGAAGTTGCCATTTTTATCTGGACTTTTTTTTTAATTACACCTGCAGTAAATAACTTTTTAATGGCTTGTTCTGTGTCTCTTTGGTCTGAGTGCACACCCTAACATTTTTATCTGGAACAATCTTTTGATGAGAAAATTGTGTGTTTAAGTGTTTTAACAGTAGAGGAGGCAGGAATACTGTCAGACTGCTGAAACTGGAGATTTTGTAGCTATGGGTTCTAATTTTGTTATTGTTTTGTGCCACTTTACCTTTGTATTTTATATTTATATTTTACCTCATATTCTTTGTAGTTTGTAGCTGTGCTCTTTTTTCTTCACATTTCTTCAAACTTGGGTTAATGTTATATGTTGGAGAATGATATTATTATCGTTATGGCCGTGGTCCAGGCCGGTCTTCTACACGGTTATATCTCACTTATTTGAGGACTGAAGTTTCAGTTTTTTACACTTTGCACTGTTAGCCGCTAGAGGTCGTGGTAGGATGTGTATATTCAGCATGACATTAACTCTACGAAAGCTAGAGGCTCAAGATCTATAACAACTGTTAACTGAACTAGTTAGTTCTGTCATTGAGACTTGCTGATTACTTACTGTTTGTTTGTTTTTTGAAAAACTACTATTGTACTATATACATAATCCTATGTATTGACATAAAATTGGGTATTTGTTTATTTCATCATGTACTTGTCAAGAGTGACATATTTACCTTTTTTGGTATTTGTTCATTATTAGCTTATGGGAACATTTCATTTTAAACAAATTCACACAGTACATGCACAATTAAATATGGGCACTTTTTTATTAGAATATAACAATTGGCAGTTATGTTTTTGTTTCACTGACTATTATGATGTCACATTTTTGTGAGTGTACAGCGTGAGCTAGACTGATGAATAAAAAAAACTATAAAGTAAAGTTAAAGTATGTTGTTGTCAGAGTATTTTATTACATATATATACAGGCTCTATATGACACAGTGATGCATTTTGGGTTACACACATGGCATTATAGACAGAGCAGTATGGTAGGAGCTGGAATGTTATCAGACACAGCTGGTATTGTATGTATGGGCAGAAACAAGTTGACAACCATGAAAAACAGGAAGTAGATAGTGGGGGAGGGTCAGAGCTCTGATCCTATACATATGGTCTGCAATAGAGATGATCCAGAGGCCCTCGTCACCACGAGGGACGCTGTGTCACGGATCATCGGCCATAAGTCATCATACGTGCCTATCCTTTTGTTGCCTGCTCGACTTAACCATTCTTTTGTTTATGTCTTTGTTTGTAACTAGAGATTAGTTCCAAACAATTGCCTGCGTCTCTGACTGAATGGAATATGACTACATATTGCACTGCCCTCTTCTTGCACCATGGTGGGATTTGTTTCTGTGTTGTCAGCAGCCAGTTAATAAATGGTTAAAGCCGACCAGGGTTATTGTTACTGAGCTTATTAGCCTGTTCTACCACCATGTTGTCAGTGTTTAAGCCAGGTGATCACAACCTCTCTGAACTGTTATGAACAAAGCTTTTAGCAATAACATTAAATATTACAAATGTTATGTTGAAGTTTACAAATATATTATGAAATATTCAAATGCATATTTTCACATTTGTAAATGTATTATTAAAAAATATAACAATACACACCTAACCATAAAGGGTGAGAAGTAAAAATACTCTTGGTTTGTAGTTTGAAACTTCTTATTTCTTTCTTCTTATTCTTTTCAGTTGATCATACCTTGCCAAAATGTAGACATATTCAGTCATAAGAACACACAAAGACAAGAGTGTATCTAACATGGCAGCCTTCAAGCCATTAAGAAGATCAGCAATAGCACTCCAGAGAGTAAAAAAATAAATACTACTTCATATGAGAGTACACTCATGAATAAATCATGGACATATTTATTCTAATTAAAATAGATTATTATCATTATTGCTGTTGTTCTTAATGTCATTGTCATTTATTTTATAAATGATAAAACAGATACATGCAATGCTTTATCCCAAGTAAGATTTTCCCAACATTTACATATAGACACATACAAGATCAAAATAGTGGATGTGTGGTGTTAAACATTATTAACTGTTTGTAACATTAGTGTAGAGTCATAATGTGAATTGACGTGGTGCCAGAGCCCCTCTTATACAAACTGGTGTAATCCGGTTTTACCCATGGTGCTCCATATGGGAAGGCAACCGTTCGACCACATGGAAGAAATCCACTTAGTAAGAAGGAGAGACCCAGCTTTTCCTTACATGCAGCTGATCCATTCAACGTCTTCCCTCTCACACAGCTGATTGGTGCAGGCCAAAAGTAGGGTGACAGAGTATCTTTGTAAATGTGCATCACAGTTGTTCCATGTCACCTGTTCCTGGTTTACAAGCCATGACTGACAGGTGGCAATTGTGTGTGAGCATAGAGAGACAGTGAAGATGGGCCGTAAATGAGCATGTTGCCCTCTGTCAAAGAGGCTTTGGTTTAAGTCACCTTTACTCTTGTTCTTGTCACCTTATCCTGAGGATAATGCAAGTGTTGTTGCTCACTGCTTTCCCTTTTAAAATATATCAGTATTTAGTCATAACAAAAACTAAGAGAAGACTGTTTTGCAATGTGATATATTGTGGGAATAAACCTGCCACCACAAGGAGCAGCAGGTGGAGAAACTGTCTTTCTGTGCTTTATGGTGACTTGGGGGTCAGACAAGTGTAAAGTGTAAAAAAGAAGGGGAGAGGCAAGCAACAGCAGCAGCTGTGATGTAATGGTTTCTCTGAATGTGACACACAACAGCATTGTTTTCTGACACTAACTTTATGGTGTTTACTCTTCTCCCGGCCCTTTCTACACTGTGCTTCTTGTCATTCGCATCTACAGTATTTTCACAGGCATGAAGAGTCTTACTAAAGTTAAAAATAACCATATAATGCAACAGGTTTTCAATGAGCAGCACATTTGGTTATTGACTAGTGTAATGTGATAGGAGGTATACTTATAGAATGAGATGATAAAATCAAATCTATCAGTATGAAAGTTTCATTGGACAAAAGACCTAACCCTGTACCACCGATTAATGAGCACAAGGGTAAAGTAGGTTCTTTTGTCGTTACCATAATAATACAGACACACATCAGCATATGACCTGGAGGCTAATAGTATTTGTTAACATCCAAGTGTCGGCAGAAACCTTTTGTTTGGACCAGGCCAAATTAACTAAAAGTGTGTGTGTGTGTTGTGTAAAAGGGTTAGGTCATCTTCACTGTGAATATGCATTATTCTTTTACCAGAGAATATCTTCACTTGCAAAAGTTGTTGTTAGTACCCTTATACATGGGAATTGACTTATTGGATATGTTTGAAGTAAATTAAATGAAAAGTAATCAAATCCCAGTTTAGTCTGTGCTTGCATAAGTGTGATATGACACATTCTTTATCCTCCTGGTTAAAGAATAATCAGGGGCCATGGCTGTGGCTACTTTGCATACAGAAGTTTTTTCAAAGCTGTATCAGCAGTTCTTCTTAACCAGTTTGCCTACAATCCATCACAGTCTTCTTTTGAACTTGTGCAGTGTTTTCTGAATAGTAAGTCAATCTTTGTATATTCCTGCATTTGTTAGTCAAATGTCAGACTGGTTTTGCATGTGTTGGGAAATAGTTCAAACAAATCAGAATTTGGTATGTTTTCTTAAAGAGCTAGTAAATGCAACCCAATTTCAAACAAGAAATTTTATTTTCCAGTGGTTTTGTTTGGTAATGGTGTTTATGCAATATAATGATAATTTAAATTACAGTTTAACACAACTATATATCATATGTATCTATATAGCTCACTGCTTTGATAAGTATTCCATAAAAAATGAAACATTTGCATGGTGCCTTGCTCCATACACATGGACAATTACGAAACGCTGTTTGGGATTTCCAAATCCATGTAATGCCTGGATTTAGTTCACTTTAGTCTACTGGGCTATGTTCAATGTGTATGGGAGATATGTGAAAAATTACTTGGCTTACAGTATTATTTAAATAATACATGTTACAAGTGGAACTGTTAAGGTATCCGTGGTGTATGAAATGCTTTGAGTTTAGATAGCGAATCGAGGTTGTAAAAGACGCATAAAGAGCATAATCGCACGTCTTCTGTCGCCATTTTCCAAAGCTAAACTACAAAAGACATTGACAGAAGAACACACCCCTTCCTCAATCATTTGCCTGCAACTCGAGTCTCGTTTAAATTCATCCACATTGGCTGCATTTTCAAAACTGTTTAGCTATAAATAAACATCTGGAAGCAATCCTATGTCATGACACAGTTGTGTTTTGAGGAACAAAACACAAATAAGCCCTGAGAAAAGGCTGATTCGATGATAATTTCTGCCTTGTAACAGCGGACGGGTCGCAGAGACAGACAAATGGGCTGCCATGCCTATTGACTGACGTGTGACGTATCCATACAGGTAGAGGCTCGAGTTCGAAATGGTTTCGATAGCCTTTACATCACCCAATCACTGCACACTAAGGGCGGGACCTAATGCCGTCAATCACTCAGGAACCGTGGCGGCTTGTGTGTGGAGGGAGGGGGAGAATCCAATCCGGTTTGAGCTAGTTTTCTTCCAATGGAACATTAAGTCTCACAGCCTTGTGTTAGATTGTTCCGGCACAGCTTTATCCTCAAAATACCACTGTATTTTCTCTTGTGTTCTGTATAATTTAACTCTTTTTTAAAACTGAAATACACAACACAAACCAGCCATGCCTAAAAGGAGCAAAGTGAGTAGATCTGTATCTTTCATACATTCAGTAATAGAGCGTGTATTACCCACAATACAGTTTGTAAAGTGGACTTGTTACCGCCGTTGATTAAAATGGTTAACGTGTTAACGTTTAGTATCCGTGCGGGATGTCAACATTGTTTATTCGTGCTGCTTGCAGTTAAGTTACACAAGCTCTGTTTTGATGTTGTGAACTCGTCCATCTTACCTCTGTCGTGCAGGTCGTTATCTTTTATCAATGTTATATTGTAGCCGCAAAATTGGTTCATTTTGCAGACATGACATGTCGTAAAGCGTTTCACACGAGTCAAAATTATTTGCATTATACAAAGTGTTCTTCGGTGCTCTTTCACATATGGTTGCTTTGCAGGGAAAGTTGGCGGCATATTGATTGTTTGCTATGGTGGGCGTAAGGCTGAAATTCAAAGTTGCTTTACATAAAACAGCTGTAATGACAAAAAGCTAGTCTCGACATCAGGGTCAATTGCAGGAAGTTGTGCTTTTGCATTATGTGATAGTGTGTTTTATTTTATTTTGCGTATAACAAAAGCTGTTTTATTGCCATTATTAACTTTTAACTCTAAAATAGAGCAGTGTGTTTCATATTATATTTACATGCGGGACTTTGGCGTTTGTACGTTTGTTTTCTGGGTCCTTTGTCGTCGTCTTTCTGCATGTAGCTGAAGCTACATGTAGGTTATGCAATGGCGAACCTCCGTCAGCACAGCGCTGCTCCTGTTGCTGGGGGTTCCAGGATATCTGCTGCCACACAGACACTGAATCGCCGAGCGTCTCATGCTTTTCAAACAGATGGCGGGAACACTCGGTTTCTCCGTACACTGATCGTCTCGTTCATTACCAATGAATGGATGTGTCGTGAAGGGGCGGAGTCACTCCCCCTCCTTAACCCGAGTTGTATACTGTAGCATGCAGACCACGTCTGCACTGGAAAAATGGCTGCACAAAGTCAGTTAAAAACATTGACTAACAGCTGCCAACATACGCATAGGTTCGTTTTGAATTTGGGAAGTTGATGGATTGTTGGCGTAAATTTGTTTTATATGCAATAAGTACGGTTTCAATATTACATTAACCGAGGTTTGACAGTTTGTTTTATTTTGTTGGTGCCCAGCACGTGTTATACAAGCTTCATGTTTCTAGATATAATTTAAAGCAGTTAAACTGAGCCTTCGTTGTTAGTTGTTACGCAAACAGATATCCCTTTGTATTTGCTTGTCTTGGTCCTCGTGTTTATGCCAAGCGATCCAATGACAACCTTTTTGTGAATAAAGCTAAAGGGCAGCGATGTGGCAATACACAATGTGAACACGCCCACTTTTGAATTCCAAAATACTCTTGACGTACATGTCCCCAGTTATACACACAATGTGATGTTGCATACTTTTTCTGAAGCTGTTCTTTTTTTCCTTTCAAAGGCAACTGCAGCAGCAGCAGCAGGCGATTCAGCGGTAAGCAACAAAACATACATATTTTAGGTGTTTGGGTTTTTGGGTTTTTTTACATTAATTTTTAATGTATAGAAAGCCTATACCCACTAGAGGTCAGTATAGCAATATATAACAGAGAATGTTGAAACCTAATTCACCCATTCTGTTGGCTCTCTGCAGCCCAAGAGGAGATCTCTCAGGTTAAAAGATGTAAGTACATTTAAAAAAGACCAGGCTTCTCATAAAAATATGCAAGTTTGTTATGACTTTGTGCTAAATTTGGAGTTTTTGTTTTTTTTCCTTTTTACAGAGACCTGCAACTGCTGCCCCAGAGCCCAAAGCTAAGCCAAAGGTGGGTCTTTGTTATTATTTTATTGAATCTGTTAAGCAGATTAGTATTATTAAATCATTTGGTTGCAGAAGGGACCAGCCAAGGCTAAGAAAGCTAAGGAGGTGGAGAAGGCCAAGCCTGAGGAAAAAGCACCAGAAGCCCCCGCAGAAAACGGCGAGGCAAAAGCTGATGAAGAGGTGCGTACAATGTTGTTTGACATAATCATGTGACTTAAAGCCCCATCTGTTGTTATCTGACTGTAACGTTGACTTTCACTTGTGTGTTTTAGGCACCTGCTTCAGATGCTACAGAAGAAAAAAATGATACTGAATAACATTGACACTTCTTTTACCAGTGCTCCCTGTACCTCTTTTCTTGTACAATTCAGGGGAATATTTTTATCAACTATTTTCTAAATACAAGTTTTTTAGTAGTTTGATTGTAGAGAACACTTTTTTTTATGAGAAAAAAAAACAAGATGCAGGAGTTTCATTGCACCTCAGAATTTCGCTCTGAAAATTACTATCATTGTTGCTGTCATTGGATTTCCATTCATTTAAAAATGTGAAGGAGGGGAGGGTGCAGGACAGGTTATAGGGTGGTGACACGCAAGCACAGAGTTCACAGGAGCAGGGGCAACGAACATAAGCTTGCCTGCGTGGATTACATTCCATATGCTTTATAAGGGACAGTTTCTGTAATCTGTGTTGGGGTGGGGGCGGACATATTCACAAGGTAACTTCTCTTTTTCTGAATTAAGACAAAGAACAGTGTTTTAGAATGGTTTTAAGCTTTGTTCTTATACATGAACTCTTGTACTCACAGTTTTCGTAATGAACTTGGATCAATGCTAAAAGTCCCCAGTATTGGAGCTCTAATGTCAGAACTGTGCATCATGTGTTGTTTGTGTCTGTTCTGTGATAGCATTGCAATAAATTTTGTATAGCTGCTGTGAAAAAAATTTTTTTTTGGTCTTTCTGTATGCAGTATGATAATATAGTGCATTGTACAGATAGTAAAAAATGTCTTTTTTTTTTTTTTTTTAAGTCCAGCTGAAACAAATTTGACCATGAGAAGGAACAGCACTCATCTGGACTCAGAGGGAACTGGTCAAAAATATATTTTTTCTGAGATATTAAATGCCTATCAGCAGTAACATTTACCATAGGGGTCTTAGGCAACTATATTCTAGTGTACATTTCTTTACCTGTTCATAGTTGTACCTGTGGAATGATTGTCATCAACAAACCAATAAACAGTTTTTAGTTGTTTTTTTCATTCGGTCACATAGTTTTTTAAACCAAAGATCATATACCTGGGATATACTTTATACAAAGAAAACATGGACTAAGAATACCACCAACAAGGAGCTTAAATTCTTTACTAATTTCCAGTGAAATATTGAAGCAAACAGATTTTACAGCTACATGAGGTATTTGTGAAAAGATACATGGCCATAAAACATCAATCGGTTATATGGATACAACCAAATAACAAAACTTCTAGATCTAAAGGATGTGTTTTTAATTATTTATTCAAGTGGTAAAAAAAATTGTGTGGCAAAATGTGTCTCATTGTGACTTTATTTCTTTTCCAACATCCATTCACCCTGAGTATTTACATCCACCCAACAATATAGTCTTTTATTGGACAGAGGTTCAGTTTGGTCAGATTGAAGCTGTGTTATTGCTCAGTACTTCAGACTGAGAGGTGTTACCACAGTTTGGTGTTTTAGTCCACTTTCTCTGGGATCCGTCCCATTTTGGTGCGCATGTTGCGCAAGAGAAAGAAACCGACGGTGGCAGCAGCCATTAGCACCTCCGCTACCCAGAAGGCCATGTCCCAGCTGTGTTGTTTAGCAATGGTGCTGAAGGGAAGTCCTGCCATGAAGGCTCCCACTGTAGGACAAGAAACATAGATCACAGTGTAGCTACATCTATATTTAAAGATGTTTGTTCAAATTAAGCTGTGCTTCCTATATTGTGTTTATAGTGTTATTGATTTTTATGTTTTAATCATCAACTGTTCTTTGTTTAAATAAAGCATAAAGATTTGTATTTACCACTGTGACTTTGTCAACTACTGTATTAATGCTCAGTTCAGGTATCGGGCACAGTGATGGTCTCTGTTCCCAATGTGTTTTGGTTTGTTAAGCCTATTTATCACATGCTTCTTGACTTAACATGAACTGATCTCAGTGTTTAACGTTGTCATCCTACCATTAGCCATCAGGGCCACAACAGCATGAGAGGTTCCACAGAAGTTAGAAGGAGCACTTTCACTGGCAATCACTCCAAACAGAGCGATTGGTCCGTAGGAAGAAAATCCAAACACAGCACCAAGGAAGAGGATCCAGATCTGTAAATGATGAAGGTAAAGTGAACTAATGTGTTGAGTTGACAGCGTCCCATATTTACTCTGCAAACTCTGAAAGAAATATCACACTGTACCTCTTTTTCTGACACGCCGATGAGAACAGACAGGGGGTGAATGACCTGAACCCAGAGAGGAGCCTCCTGGGAAATCAGGAGTAACTGTTGTTAAAATGTACGTGTGGCACACTTTACATCATTGTGCAAAACGTGACAGTGATCCACCTGTGGGATTTCTGGTGTGATGGTGACTCTGAAGAGGTACATGGACACGTACATTCCAGCCATCATTAGGATGAGCAGGCCATGTCGGGGGTTTCCATGGGTGCTCAGACCTTGCTGAATAAAGTCAGGTTAAAATTAGTAATTAGTAAAAATATTATTAATTACTGACAGTATAATAGCATAAATGCTTTTGTCATATAAATCTGTGTCTTTTTTCTCACTCGGGCAACTGCTCTGTCAGAGATTAAGCCTGACGCCAGACTACCCACAAATCCTCCCACCTCCAAGGCACTCATGTAAGTGCTGCCTGGGTGACATAACGACTAAGGTTAAGATCAAGCTGAATGAAGGACACAGGTGAGGTGAAATCTGACGAAATGCAAATCTGTTCTTGATCTACCCATTAGAGCCGTTTGGCCTTTCTCCTGCATCAGGAACAATTGTCCCCAGTCTGTGGCTGCCGTCTTCACTCCGAAAACCACCAAGTAGCCCAGAGACAGGACCCATAGGAACGGAGAGAGAAGGAATTCACGCAAGGTGCTCTCATCGTTGCCTGGTGAGTGAGAAAACACAAAGGTGGGACACTTACAGATTCATGTTTTATAGATGTCAATTCAACATTCAGTGCAGATATGAGCATGGTGCAGCTGGCTCCTGCTGGAAGCTCGTTATACTCTCTGGTATACAAGTTCAAACTTTAGGTCCAGTGAAAACAGATGAAAAGCTAATGCTAATTTATGCCGATGCTATTCTTTCGTCTTATGATTTCAGATTTCTGACTTTAGCTGAAACACGTTAGGATTTCCTTTACAAGTGTTTTGTGCCAGTTTTTCAAATTCTAAAAGACATTTCTCCAATTCATTTTGCTCACCCACCTCCCTTGGCTCCCTTCTTGGTCGCTGCTTGGATACTGGGCAAACCCACGTCCTTTGGCTCGTTCTTTACAAACACCAGACAAACGAATGAGAAGCTGGCACAGACGACCCCCGACATGGTCAGGATAGTCCTCCAGTCGTAGTACTGCAGGAGCACTGTGACCAGGATCGGACCCAAACTCCCCGCCAGGTTCATACTGCAGGAGAGCACAGACCACCATGTTCCAAACTGGGATGGCTCATACCACTGAGGGAGGACAGGTAAGATGAAAAGAGAAGGTCATCAGGTTCATGTTCCTTTAAAATTCAATTCAGGGACAGGAGAACCAGTCTGGATGCAAAAACATGGCTGACAACAGCAGAAAATGTTCTGAGTTCCCCTGAGCTTTAATGATAATTTCCTCTAATAATATTTCATGAAAATGTAAAAACATTTTAAAAATTGTTTCTACTAAAAACAGATTCACTCTTCTTCTCATACTGAGTTTTAGACTTTTCCTGTCGCCAGCACCAACTGTAGGTCAGCTAAAGAATATTTAGCTTTTAAAAAAACTTAACTGTACTGTACATTTAAATCGGCAGTAGAACTGGAAGAGGAGGGTAAACACTTTAGGTCAAAACACAAGGACTGGAGATGGAAGGGGTCTCCTAAAAATACATTCTCCTGTAATGTGACCCCTCCAAGTCCACAGTGCCACATGCCACAGCCTATTTATTCATCCTGAAAACAGTCACTGCTTCTTGAGGAGAACACTATGAGGCATGTCAGATAATTTTATACAAAAAAAACACATTTGAAACTTCAACTGTAAAATAAAAAGTTGACAGTTACTGTTAGACTGAAGAAGAATTTACAGAACATAGACAGACAGCAGCAGGAAGTTCCCTCTCTGAGGAGATTCCCAGCATGCTAACACTTCCTATAGCACTGTTTTTCCAGACCCTGTGTTGACTGTGTGTTGATATTATATCGCAGATGATGTTACCTTCCGCAACACTTTTCCACAAGGAGGCCAACCACAGCCCTGTCCCAGACCATTGATGAACCAGAGCAGTGAGAACATGGACACAGTGGAGGTCCAGGAGAAGACGACATTGATGCCGCCCACCACAAAGAGGCCAATGGAGAAAAGCCAGCGGGCACTGATCTGGTCAGACAGCACGCCACTGATAAACTTACTGATGGCATATGCCATGGTCTGGCTGCTGGTGATCATACCTGCACACACCATGGATATTTCTGTTAGAAATATGAAGCTAGTGTTGTTAAAACAAAAGAATATACAGTGAACACCTACATAATATAGTAAGCTGAATATTGTAGTAATGAATACTCCAAACATTAAACTGCACACTGCTGTTTTCTTTATGGGCTTTTTATGTAACATGGTCAGAATCCTTACCTAAGTCATCTTTGTCCAGGTGAATCTCCTCCATCACAGATGGCATGACAAACGAGAAAGTCTTTCTGTTAAAGAAGTACAGCGAGTAGCCGGTGAACATGCACAAAAAGATGACTACCCGATAGTAGCCGTAACCTGTGGCCGCCATGACCGGACTTGATCCAACAACACACTTGAAGAAATCAAAAGGTAAACCAATGTGCTTAAACCCTTTTCATCAGCCGCTGTTTTGCTCTCAGCGTTGGCTGTGGCTGGAACTGATCAAAGTATGTTTCACCACGAGACCCGTGGTCCTCTTGCAGCACGGGTGACTCTGAGAAGATTCCTTGTGTATAGCAGCGTTACCAGCCTGAAATGACTGAGAAAATACCACATGTAAGTAGAAATCCAGATCTAGATATACCTTTAGTTACATCTAAGTTCCTACTGATTTTAAATGTGATCCATAAAAATCCTTAAAATGTGAGGAAACCAGCGTCAATATTAAGTTGTTGATGAGTCTATATAGATAATTTTCATTTTTTTAAAAAAGGAAATAGTATGAAGCCCTAATTCTACCACTATTCCACTATTACTATATGACATCTTGCAACAATCACAGCAAAATTCTAACTTCCTCACTATTTCACCTTAGGTTATTGGTGTTGATTACAAGATAAAATCTGTATTGAGATATGGGGTTTTAATTGTTTTATTTTTATGATGTTGGTGGTTTATATTTATGAGATGGTGTAACATGCTGGAGCTGCATCTCAGTCTGATCCTCTGTACTGTAAATGTCAAAGTTTGCTGCTGGGACTGGTCTGTGAACTCCTCCAGTCAGCAGACCGACCAAATATCAGGTGTCAACTCAAACTCACAGCACTGACCTGACTACAGAGACAAATGTAACATATAAAGAATTAAACAGGAAAGAAAATTGTTGCATTTTTGCAGATTTATATAGTGTTGCTTTGTGTTGAAGTTAGCTTTTAAATTGAAAACAAAAAACCCAGACTACAAATTTTACCCTAACACCGGCGTTTCGTACAAACGACTCGGGTCAGTCTTTAGCTAACAAAATTCAAGTCGCCGTGTACTTAACGATCACGTGTCTTCATTTAAATATGACGCAATTCGCACTAATGATGTGGAGCATCTGGTGGCGCTGGTTCGATTTTTTGCGCGAAAATGTCCCGGAATACTGCGGGTTACCTTTCATTCGCGTCCCTTCTGCAGATCCCATCCATTGAAAAGCAATGGATGCGCGTTCACGACCCTGCAGCCCTGTATGCGCGTCACCGTTGCAAAAAATAAAAAATAAACACACGCACAACAGTAGACAGTAGAAAGGCCCAGTTTCTAATGGTGCATTAAAACTCAGTTCAACGTTGGCGGATAAAACCTGTAAGTAAAATTGTGTTTTAAATTTAAAGTGACACCAGTGGGGTTTATCTAGCTTCGTGTCTCGCTGGTAAATCACTGTTGAATTATACACAACTCTGCGCATTATCGCCCCCTTTCGATTTTAATGAGTTCTACACTACAAGAGATGGAACGTTCCCCTGTAATAGTGTATTTTAATATATTATACTAGCGCTTTCTAATAACGTTTTTCTCTGCTTTGCATGCAGACAAAAAATATTGCAAAGAAACAGACCATTCCATTCCACTCCATTCAAAACGGACATATTCCCTCAGCACAATCCGCTGATGTGTGTTATTATAGAGATGTTGTTCACCTAGAATGGTAGTATAATTATGAAAATGAAAAAGCGCGTCAATGCAACAAACAAATACAAACACACAAAGATAAATAGGAGTTTGTTTTTTGCATTTTAAAATAAATGTATTTTAAATAAAGAAACTAAAATGGCGTGCGCTAACTCAACGTTCTCACATATTACGTAGAAATTGGCTTGACTTGTAAAGAACCGTTAACTGGTGGTGTCATTAATGGCCAGACACAACAGATGGAGTTATACTAACGCTCTTGGCAGATGGGTTTCAAAATGATGCACCAAAATACAACATACAACAAACATAACTATAAGAAATAGGTATGTTTTTATTTTCATATAATTACATGAAAAAGTTACACAAAAAATGTGTTAACATACTTTGTCAAAACTATACAAAACATTTGAGGAACCACCACGCACATCACCACGTCATACTTGTATCATATCCAAACAAAGTTGCACCTATAACTTGAGTCTGTGTGTTATTGCAGCGTTCATTTAACATCACAAAGAGTAGCGAGTCAGCTGCAGAATACCAAGTGGTTTGTTTTGTTGGTGGAGAAGCCTTGCTTCGAGGTCTTTGTGAAAAGGCTTTAAGACGCCCTGAGAGCTGCCCTGAGACGCAGAGACAAAACACCAAACCATTCAAACATTTTATTTCTTCCTGTGAGCACCCTGCCACCCTCTCACCTCAGTCTCTGATTCTACCGTATTGATTAGGAAAGGCAGCAGTGATGGAATGGATGATGCTGCCATGTCATTGCATTGTTCACCACACACGATATTTAAAACAGACCAGCACAACAAAATCATAATATATAGTTGTGTTTGTATAATATTTCAGATTTTACTCTATTGTCAGCAGTGAAGTTTTGTTTTGTTTTTTCAGTAACAGGACATTTGACTAATTATTTCCAACATTACAACTTTCAGGCAGCCAGTCCCTTACCAGTGTGTCAGAGGTGATTGGTCCTGAACCAGAAGCAGAGACTTTTTTAGTCCATCACTCTCTCTCACTCACACACATACACAGAGTGCTAAATATGCTGACTCCTCCTTCTCTGCTTCATGCATTCAGTGATCCATGCAGAGATACAGGTGTCATGTGTGAATGGCAGTGACGTGGCTGAGAAGTGAACAGCAGCAGCAGCAGCAGTGTTCTCTACCTGTTTGATGAGATCATCAGCTCACAGACAGAGACAGAGACAGAGGAGGAGAATACACACAGATACACACAGTCTACAGGACAATTAAGGTTTGAACCTTTTCTCTCTGTTCTTTTCATCCTGAAATACACAGATTGTCTGATGTGGTGAAGCTGTAGTATGAACAGCAGTAGAAATGAGTTTGGCAAAGTCTTGCGTTTGATGCTGGTCAGAGTGAATTACAGAAGTGCTGAAGAAAATTCAATCGACTGCAGATATGAATGTAATATATGTAATGCATATATGCATATATGATGTATATGTCAATAAGCTGTGAAGAAACACTGTGTGCTTTCTATTTTTTAATGACACTGTTGGAAGCCAGTCTGTCAACAAGGCTGTTCATCACTACTGAAATATGTGTGTATTAATTACACACGTAAAATCAAAAGTATCTGTGTTTCATCCTGGTACAAACTACTGGAAAGAAAACATTAAAATGAGGAGGTGAATAAAAAAAAAAAAAACCCTCAAACATTACTGGCTATAAGTGCAACAATCCACAGAATGAAATACTAGAACAAATGATGGTTTACAGATTTAACAATCTTTTTTTTATAAAGTTTCAGTGGTAATGCAGATTGACAAGCAGTGAAATGGATTTTTATTGCTTTAGAAAAGTTGTGGCTCATTGTGCCCAGCATTTTTAATTCTGTATCTGTTAACATGTTTTCCTCACACGAAAGATGCGTAAGACCAAATACCTGTTCTTTATGTCATTGTGTGTGTGTATATATATATAAAGAGAGAGAAATTGAAATAGAAATTCCCTAGAAATTGAAAATCTCTATCAGCAGTACGGTGAGATAGATTTTCTGTAATTCGGAATTTACATACAATTACATATGAAACTAACAGGACATTTTAGTAGATGACATTTTGCTGGACACTGCAAACATTTGCACAGCAAACTGTCTTCACATAAAGGCCAGGATTAGCTCAGTCTATGTTAGAAGCAAACAGAAAACTACAGCTAGCAAAGGTCAAGGTGGGATTAGAAAACAACAGGCAGGAACTGTAGTCATGAACAGAGGTGGGTTCACCGACACAGAGACAAGACGGTCTGCATGGAAGTGAAGACAATTTGGCAAAGAGTGAAGGGAGTGTAGCTGAATATGTAGGTGGAAGCTAAGAAAGCCGTTCGGTTTATTATGTAGATAAAAAGAACACCAGCCTCTGCCTCTCCTCAGTGATAATACACTGCTGAACATGTCAAATTACTATAAAAACAAAAATTTACATTTTTAGTTCTCAAACACTCCCTAGAAATTGAAAATCTCTATCAGCTCTTTTTTCCACCATTTTATTTCCTTGATTGTCACCATGTTACATGGTTATCTTAACAGTGATATAAGATGAAAATGCGGAACAGTCGAGACATTGTCACCATCCTGTTCATCGCTCTGCCCTGGACTCTGCTAGTTACTGTTTGGCACTGGAGCACAGTTAATTTTCCACTCACTCCTCGAGAAGGTAAACTAGAAAATGAGGAAACAGAGACCTCTGTTCTATAGTTAATGTGTCTTCTAAAACACTCATTATTTTCTCATCTGGCTAGATGACAGACAAAGCAGCCGTTCGAGCTCTCAGGACACTTCTGCTGTCAACAAGATGTGTTGCCCACAGAGCGGGGGCATCAACTACACCGACAGTCGGCCCCCTCCCTGGTCTAATATCCTGCCGATGATCTTTGTCATTACCCCCACCTACGCCCGACCAGTGCAGAAGGCGGAGCTAACACGTCTGGCCAACACCTTACTCCACATGTCCAACCTACACTGGATCCTGGTGGAGGACTCTGAAAGAAAGACCCCTTTGGTCAGTGGTTTCCTCCAAAGGACAGGGCTGAACTACACCCACCTCAATGTTCAAACACCCAAGGAGTACAAGTTCCCTGCGAACAGGGGAGTTCCACATGGAACCCTCCAGAGGAACTTGGCCCTGCAGTGGCTTCGTGACACTTTCAGCACCGGTGCCAGCCAGTCTGGGGTTGTGTACTTTGCAGATGACGACAACGCGTACAGTCTCGAGCTTTTTGATGAGGTGAGGAGATCAAACTCTTTCTCATGTTATGCCCTGCTTTTCATCGTCCAGACTGACTTTCGCCTCTGTTTCTACCTCTCAGATACGAACTACCAAAACGGTGTCCGTGTGGCCTGTGGCGTTTGTTGGCGGCCTCCGCTACGAGGCCCCTAAAGTGAATGCTTTGGGCAGGGTCTATGGTTGGAAGGCACTGTATGCTCCCGAAAGACCTTTTTGCATCGACATGGCTGGGTTTGCTGTGAACCTGCATCTCATTCTGTCAAAACCACAGGCTAATTTTCAGTTATATGGGGTAAAGACAGGGTATCAGGAGAGCAGCCTGCTAACAGGGCTGGTGACCCTGGATGAGCTGGAACCTAAAGCTGCTAACTGTACAAAGGTCAGTCTTTTTGCTTGTTAATTTTTTTATCTTATTTTTTTAAAACACAAGGCATCAATAAATGCTGTAAGTGAAGAAAAATGAAACACTATTTACAGCTCTGGTTGTTAAGATCATCCAGGTCAAGTCAAGGAGAGTATTTCTTTTTTAAGTCAGTTTTATTTGTACAGCCTGAATTCACCAAACATTTGTGAACATTTTGTCTCATTGTATTTGTCCTCTTTAAAAAAGCATATGAAAATGGAGGAATGTAAATACAATTAATGTGATAATGACCTTATATTAACCATACAAAGGAAAACAGAATAACCTATACAATATTATCGAAACCCAAATTAGATCACACTCTAATTAGCAATGATGAAATACAGATAAAAACAAAAAAAAACTGTCTTTTAAACAGGAAGAAATCTCCAGCTTGGTGTTGCTGACTCAGCAAAGAGAGAATGGGGGTGGGGTCAGGGTAGTTGATTTTATTTATATAAATCAAATGGGCAAACCGCCTTTTGCCTCAGGACATCCATTTTTAAATCCCCCAAAATCCTCGCAAATGACCTGGTTTACTTCTATATTAGTCCCTATGAATTTGAACCAACTTTCAGTTTCACCTTAGTTTATATCAGCTTGTGAAATGAGTTTTGCCTCTAAATATTACCCTGTATATTTCCACTGCATGTACAGCACACAGGCTTTCTCTATCTGTGCCTTCTTCCCCACAGATATTGGCGTGGCACACAAGGACAGAAGCACCACAGATGTTAAAGGAAGACAAGGACAGATTTACAGACCATGAAATGGAGATATGACAGTCGTCATCATCAGACAGATAATAAAAGAGGAGGCAGACTCATTTTGGGATTAACACGAACACATCTAGTTTAGGACTGACCTAGATGAGAGAAGAGGTCGAGTGAAATAGAGACATTACATTTCAGCTGGAAATTGGTGTTTTTTTCGAGAGTTGTCACAGTGTCAATTTTTATTCTATTTTTTTGGAGCCATGAATGTGATTGTCTATTGGTTAAGGGTGGGGCAGTGGTGGCTTAAGGAAGCGGACTTGGGTCGGGAAGGCTTCAGGTTCGAGTCCACCAGCTGCCAAGTTACCACTGAGGTGCTCTGAGCATGGCACCGTCCCCACACACTGCTCCCCAGGTGCTTAAAGCTGCCCACTGTTCACTTTGGTGATGAGTTAAAAACAGAGGTCACATTTGGTTGTGTGCAGTGGTGAGCTGTAGTAGTTTACTTTCCTTCTTTTGGTGTTGCTCAATTATGTTGCTTACTTATGTTTAAAGAGGGGGGGGGGCGTGGTTTGCCGTGTTCTTTGTTGATCGCTTATTTTAAATGTTATTCACTGTTCATTGGATTTATTTGGATTTAGTAGTGAACTGTATTGGGTAACCTTTTTTGTTTGGTTAATAAATATTTTCATACTCTGAAATCCCAATGAATCTTTTTGATAACGCGTCTGACATCCGGGCCTATTTTCAGTTCTCTCTGAGTGGCTTAAAAGTCACTACACAATGTTTTTAAAGTGCATAACTGGACTAGCCGGTCCACCGGCCGACCTGGCTGGTACATCTCCGGTTCCGCCATCAGACCACCTCCGACAAAAAAAACAAAACAGGCCTGTCTGTTCTGTTTGAAACAGTTGTCCGTGTGAGATGAGTCTCCTAATTTATCTGCAGTTTAAACTACAGGAAGAGAAGGCACAACAAGTACTGGAGCAGAGCTGCCTCTGCACATACAACAGCAGGCAGTCCTCCAATCAGCATCAGAAAAGACTCTGTTGTTCTAAATCACGCTGGCTGTCGGGGACGGAGACACACAAAGAAACACAAGGGCTCCTTGTACTTAGTGAGTGTGTAGAGACAGTCCCTCCTTACTGGCACTGTACAGCACAATACTGTTTTGATAGCAGTCTAATCCCAGTACTAATTAGGACTCCTGTTACTCCACAGCTCACACAAACAAATACCAAACACCCCTTGTGGTCGTACATTGTTTAATGGAATTTTTTGGTTTTTTACCATAAATTGGTTGCACTTTTCTCAAAGAAAAAAACTCTTCATTACAGAATGTAATTATTTCCACCATGGATGGCTGGCCTGCAGATGATGATAAAGTATGTCTCTGATTTGCAGTGACACTGTGTACAAATGTTCATTGTTCACAAAAACCCTGCTCAGAGTTTGTTCACATCACGACTCGGCAATGATGGTTTAGGCAGAGATGGGCCAATCAGTGGCCCAACATAAGGTACATATAACATATGTTCAGGTCAAGTAAAGCAAATACCTAGTTAATGTTTTCAATGTAGGTACATCACTTTACTCTGGTCTATTGAATGGCAGCTCCAAGCCAAAACACCCCTGCCCTAAAGTCTGACATCCTCACACAGCCAATATTACCTTTGAAAATGAATCAATAAAATGAATTAGTCATATAAGCAGCACAATAATTAGTCAAACATTTTTATTATCTTTGTAACAAAGTGATACATTATATTACATTTACAAATCAACTAGAGTGATGTAACCCATACTAAATGTTCAATCGATGCACTACACTTTTTACAGGATGTCCGCTGCCATACCGAGATCAGCAGCATCGTCAAACTGAACCTTGTAGTCTCCTTCTTGCTCCTCGAAGATAATTACCTTATCAGAAAACAAATAAAAGACAAGGAGACAAGTAGAATTTATATTAAAGTAAAATAAAAAAAAACAATATAAGACTTAGTAACTGTAGATTCTCAGCATCGGTTTTTAGTCAATGTTTTCCTCAGCTTTTGTAAAACATGTGCTGAATTCATCCTTTAGTAAGAGCCACATGTCTGCCAGGTACATGAAGACAAACAAGCAAACTCACCTGGTTGATTCCACCATTGAGGAAAGGTGCAGGAAGGTAAAGAGTCTGCTGGGGTCCAATGGACCAGTACCGGCCCAGATTTAGTCCATTAACAAACACAACACCTTTCTCCCAGCCCTGCGGTTCCAAAAAAAACCCACATAAAATGTTGATGTGATTTTTTTTTTAAATGGACCAGCCAAAAATGTTTTCCCCATCTTGTCTTACTGGCAGCTTCACAAAGGTGTCACTCGGATAACCATACACAAACAATCTGCCCATGAAAAAGCCGGGGAAGACAGGATTTTCAGGAAGATTTTTCCAAGGTGCCTGATAAAGACTGAAGGCAAGCATCCAAGTCACAAACAACATTTTAAAAATTAAAGACTTTTTTTTTTCAGTTCAATGTAAGATACCAACCTATCTATGAAGCTGGGTTTCATATCCAGGCTGTATATTGTAAAGTTTCGTAAGGGGACATTATTTAATAAAATGTCTCCCACAAGTCCTATGGGAAGAAAATCCGTAATGATCATAAATATTATCCACTGGTCGCTTTGCTGGTTTAAATCATGTCAAATATCATCAACCTGTTCTACTGTGTCAGGTACCTCTGTGTTGTTTGTCAAGGCTCCTCCCCTTATGAACCCGTCCACAGTTTTCTACCAGCAAACTCAACGTTCGTCGGCCCTGTCAGAATAATTCACCTTTTATCACCTGTTTTATTGCCGTCTGCAGCGTCAATCACATTTATCGAAGCACTGCCAGTCACATTTACAGCTCATCTGCCTTAATTACAGAACTAGATGTCATACCTTACCATCAGGGACTGCCAGCTCCGCAGTCTGCCGTTTGAAGAGGCCTATGTAGGTTCTGTCTACAAACACCTGGGAGGGAAAGGTGAACAAATAAAAACACAGAGTCTTACATGGACAGCTAACTAATTTATATTAGGTATTATTGAACAGAGGGTCTGAGGTTGCCAGTGGAAATATTGACAGATATTATTTAAGATGAAACGAAATGAGTAAAGGCATCATTTTACTGGACAGAATAAATAAAGAACCTATGAAAATATTCAATAATGTGACATATTTTAGGTTAAAAGGCAAAAATAAAATCATACATAAATAGGGTTTGTTTCATTAGGACTTTAGATTTCATTTTTCTTTCTACATGTACGTCCAGTCCTGTAAGGGTCACCAGGTCACTGCAGCAGCTTAAAAGGCCAAACCAGCCAAGCTGTGGATGTTAAAATGCCACTGCTCCAAACACCAACATTGACGTTTCACTCATTTTATTTTATATAACTAACAGTTACAAAGAGCCCATAGGTCACATTGAAAAACATTTTAAGATTGCAGTGTGTAAAGTCACGCCTTATGTCACTGAAGCCTACATAACAAAGGTCAGATGTCGACTGAAGTCTCACCAGTGCTCTGTCTCTGACATTGTTTCCCGATCTCAACAATCCTCCACTGGTGACAACGGTCTCATAGAGGACGTATCCAGAGGACTGTCCGTTTCCATTGTTCACAGGTAAACTCTCCATGTTCACTGGCCTGTGTGACGTCACTGGCTGCACAGGCAGTGACAACAGTAACATTCTATTAAATAACTCAATGAGTGTGTCTTCGAAGCACGTGTACAGTGGAACCCGTAGATACGAGCAACCCAAATACAAGTTATGACTTGAGTTATGAGTAAGCAACTATGTGTATATATATATATATATATATATATATCTTCTTGTATAATTAGTGGCCCCAACACTATAAAAATGATGTTACCCATTTTTGTAACAATAATATAAATCTTAATTATTATTATTTTATCTTATGAATATATTTGTTTGTATCTGTGTTTTGATGTTTACATGGGGGGTTCATCTAAACAATTAATAGTATATTTCTGGGGGGTTGGAACTAATTAATTGTTTTTTATTTGCAATCTATGTTTTTTATTTGCAATCTAGATACGAGTTGATTGACCTACGAGTGCTGCTGTGGAACTGATTAAACCCGTACCTAGGGGTTCCACTGTAGATTGTTTTTTATAAAACGTACTCCCTCAGTGAAGCTCAGGGCGTCCCACAGAGGCAGGTGTTGGTACATGATGACTTCTTCATATGCCTGTCTGTATTGCAGGGCTGGCATGTGTAAGAGACTCTCACCTCCTGTGTTGAATTATTCATCATTAAGACAACGGTCTCAGCACAGCAGGTTCGTCTGTTTTAGCTGATGCTCAACTCACTGCGGTGGTGAGACAGCAGATCTCTGATGAGGTGATATTTGGGCGTGTAGTCCCCAGCTTCTGACAAGGGAGCGTCATAGTCTGCAAAGGTAAGAGGGGAAAGAATGTATTTTTGCACTGCCTCCTGCTGGGTGGTAATGGTAATGCTCTCTTGTACTAAAAAAGCTGCAATCATTTTTTTTTTAATTTGTTTGTGACACGTCAGACAGACAGGGTCAGTCGAACCGTAACTGGGGACCAGAGCTTTGTAGGATGGATCAGCAAATGCACCACTCATGAAACCAAAACTGGAGCCTCCGTGGAACATGTAGAGGTTGACGGACATGCCTCGCCTCAGAATGGCCTTCATTGTAGACATCATATCTAAAAAGATGCACATATCCAATAAATGAAAACATATTAATAATAACCTGGTATTTTCTATTATGATGGAGTTAAACTTTAACAGACTAGAATAAACACAAGGTAACTTCAGGTATTTATTAAAATATATACTGTATGTACTGTATTATTTACCCTTATTTCAAATAAGGGACTGAATTATTATTATTATTATTTAAAGATTAATCATTGGTCAATAGAAATTATCAGTGACTGCATCAAAGATGTAACATTCAAGCTAATGGGAAATATCTTTCTCTATTGTTCATCCATCTGAGTTAGTCAATCTATCTCTGATTCTCAGAATGGTGCTTTTTGATTGTGGACAGTATAGAGCACAATATTGAAGTTTTCAGTTTCATCTCCAGGTGAAGATAAAAGTGTCAACACTCTTACTCTCTGGAGGAAGCACATGGTGGAGGTCACCCCACACGTCATACCAACCAGTCCAAAGGTCCATTACTATGATAGGGCTATTTGGCTTTGGAAAAGAAAACGATTGTGATTATTTAGCACAGTGTGCTGATGTAATAGATTGTTTTGTTTTAGTTTGGTGTAGTACACCCTACCTGAACAGCAGTTAGCTCCTGTAGGTCCCTGTGATTGAACCTCTGCAGCTTCAGTGATCTGATAGCTAGAATGACACAGGTTAAGCGGTGTGTTATTGCGAGTTTGTGTTTGTGTGTGTTACTGAATCAGCATACCTCCAGCTACACCACCCGATCTAATCATGTCGTGGTTGTCTGATGTAAGCAACAGCTCATTGATGCCTCTGGACTGTAAAGCCTTTCAAGACAAAAATAAAACATCAGATCTTAGTGTGTGAACAAAGTAATATCTGTCTGGGTTTAGACAAACACTGAGGGGAATTTAAATCATGCAAATATATTACCTTTTTGACAAAAAGCATGTAAGCTTCATCTTTTGCATATGATCCATACCCGTTTTCAACTTGCACCGCGATCACAGGGCCTCCTTTCTTGAACTAAAAGGAAGGAGGAAAAACAAATCAAAATAAGCTTAAGTAGCTAAGCATTTATCAATGTGGTTATTAATTTAACATAAATGAACCTGTAGGTGAACCAGTTTTGGAATAAGTGTATCAAAATAGGTGTTGACAGCATCAGTAAAGCCTTCATAGGTAGTTCTCAACCTCATGTTGTCATCACGAAGCAGCCAGCTGCAGAGACAAATGAAACCAATAAATCCACAGAGCTCCAGGAGCAGCCCAGACAGACAGTTTATCGAAGTGTGTTACCTACTGGCCAGGTCTATGTTGTCTATGTTTTTCAACCCAGGGGCACATCATGGTTCACAATTAACTGGTTTTTGTTCAGCAAAGTTCATTTGAGTTCCAAATTATTATACAATATATAATTATTACATCTGGGACGTCAGACCATGAACTATTTACTCATTTTAGTAAACAAAAAAACAGAGACAAGGAGTGTCACTACATGCTACTCTCTAGTATACGTGTCACTGTTCCTGTATTGATAACAACTACACAATAACCCATAATAAAAACTGAGGAAATAAATGCAATGCAATGGTCAACAACTGGAGGGTCTCAGAAACCTGTATTTATGTACGTCAACTAACAGTGGAGTCTGCAGTGGATCAACATCTGTAAAAGTGTCATATTTTGTCCGTGGACTTTTGAAAAAGTTGGGCAGTTTACAGAGATACTCTGAAAACAATGACAAAAATATTCTTCAGATATTTAAGATGACTTGATCAGGTTAAGATCTTCTCTGGTTAGATTCTGTTCTGTTATGCAATAGGTTCTGTACTTTGATGTGTTCTTGCTTGCAGCTGCTGTATTTTTAATGAGTGTGACTGGTCCCCACACACACACACACACACACTCACTGAGTTATACACCAACCACATTATCTCTACCTCGGTAATCCTCCAAGGTCCAGCTCAGAGGAGATGTAGGGTCCTGGACATACAATCACCCACAATCCTAACTCTGCAGCAAGACTGATGTAGGACCTGCAACCATATATGAGGAAACGGATGAATCATGATGTAAAATATCAACACCATCAAGGCAATGGCAAATACAGCAGTAGGTTATGGTGTTGTTAATGTTGTAATAAGTTGTTGTTGTTTCATAGTAACTGCTGTTGTCAGGTGGAGCTCTGCGTCTAGCTCCTCCCCTGAGCACAGAGGGCAGTGAAGGGAGGGAAAGTATTCCCTAAGCATCTCAGAACAGGTGAATCAGCATCGGGGATTCGGGGCCTTCAGTATCCTAGAATATTTTGCATTCATAAAATAAAGGGTACCACTATAGCCTCATCACTCAATTGGTACAGGGGTCATTCAACACGAGTATAAAATAGATGTGACATCTCCTCACTCCAAATCCAGTTGTGTGTTGAAGTTGAAAACCCCTCTCTCTGGTTGGTGCAGACTCCACGGTACATACCTGCAAACAAATGGATCTTAGTGCTCCGACGGTGGACCACATCAGATCCAAAAATAAAACCCTCACATTAGAGCTTGTCCTTCTTACGTAGTGAGTGTGTTGATGCCACAGGCCTTCATTTTCATCAGCCGGTCCCACCAGTAGGCTCTAGGAACACGAAAATAGTGGATGGATCCTGCGATGATCTGGAAGGGCTCTCCTTCCAGAGTGAACTGGGATGTGTTGGCACTGAGTCCCACCTTCCTGCTTATCCTCCATTCTCCCGGAGGAACTCTGAAAAGGGACTTTCTTACTAGTGTGCTAACCAGTCACATGACATTCTTGATTTAGGAATTTGCAGATAGTGCAAGTTTGCAGCAGGAAGACATTTAGAAGGAAAATATACATTTTACTATTTTAAATAAGTCAACAAACATTATATATTTATTAAAATTATTTACTTTAATAATGTTTTATATGTGAATTTAAAATTGTGTACAGATTTAGATTCGGTTTTCAGGCTACGTTGATAATGTCTCATCCTGATCATGATATCACAGTAAGAAAGTAAGTCTATTTATCTTCAAAGAAGCTTCACAAAATGAACAATAATAAATATGTAACCTACCTGAAATACTTGTAGTACATGATGAATGCAAAAATGAAGAAAATGATAACAGCATATTTCCTTCTTATCCTTATGACAACCATCATAAGGATGGTTATGAGCCTAAATTTCCCCAAGGGAACTCCTGAGGGATAAATAAAGTTCTATCTATCTATGAGCCGAGACTGACATGACAAGATGGGACTGGGTTAAATTCACAGCGGCTTCAGAGCTCAAATGGATGCATGATGCAGGCGTTCAACATAGCACCGCCTCCATGGGAGTGCCCGTGTGCAGCCCTCGGACTCTGACACACCTCACTGACAGAGTGTATGTCTGTGGCTCTCTGTATTCAGGTTTTTCAAAAACATACAAGTGAGGCTGTTCCAAGTAACTAAATATCTTAAACAATAATTATATTTGCTTTGTTGGTCTAATAAGATGTATTCAAACAAGGACTGTTTACTGCTACGACTGAAGGAACCAAAATGCAGCAGTTGAGAGAAAGACAAAGTGGAAGTTTATTCATCAGTCCAGAACTGAAGAAGCCTCTTGGATGAGAGGTTAAACGTCTTTAGGAAGACCTACTCTGCCAAGTTGCCCATGATGTATTGGATTGTCTATGAAGATTTTTTTAGTCATCCAGGACATGGTCAAGGTTGAAGAGTTCTGTTAGGGAACTGGACGTGACATTTTCACGTTTTTGCCTCACAGAACTTTTCAACCTATTTTTGGATTATCATCTGAACATTTTTTTTCTTCCCCTAATTAATAAAAGAAACCAGTCAAACAGTCGAGACAAAATGCATGCACCTTATGGAAATCAACAATTTCTCATCTCATCTTATCTAATTATAGTCATTTCTTCCCAGTGCAATAACATTGAGGACAGGATTGCATTAGAGCCTAGGTTTTCTGTCATGAACTGTAAATCCCATTTATAAAAACACATTCCAAACAGCCATCACATTTGAAATATTGTGTACCCCCAGGGATGTCCGCACCACACTTTGGAAATCCATTAGATTACATTACAAAACATTTAGCAGACGCTTTTATCCAAAGTAAATATTTTTTCGCTTTAATCCCTGGTCTAAAACATTAAATTTGCTTTCTTAGCGCCCTCTGTTGGAAATAAGATTTATGATGGGTAAACAGCAAGAACAATAGTGCTTTTATTTCCTTTAAGGAGACGGGAAACAGCATTACCCATGATCCTTTGAGGCTAGCGCTTGCGCAATATGTTTTCGACGGCCCTGCTGGTAGTTGTGGGATTGTTGTTGTTTTGACAATAGACGGCCAAAAGAAAGAATTGGTGAAGTCGTTTTTAACCCGAGCCTGTCGTATGAGGTAAGAAAAGGGCCCCGAAACACTGGGTGCTCTGTCTCCGAATTTAGCCCCCCGTTTGGTGTTGTCTTGGTAGAATAAAGACAACAGTCTCATTAGTTGTTCGTTAGCATCTAGCTAGCAACACAGACTGTGAAGCTATCAGAAAATAAACTAACGAAAGTTTTAGGTTTGTAAGGTTTGCCAATAGAGCGTCCTATTGGCAAAAGGTGTGACTGTGTTCACACAATACACTTTTCAGACACACTTTCTTTGTTTGGACAAAAATCAGGCATGTCACAGTTTACCTCTAAATGCTAACCCCTGAGCTTCAGCTCTTGCTAACGTTGAGCTTAACTCTATCACAAATGACAGCCACATTACATTTTTGTAATCAGTGTCTCTGGAGCGCAGAGAAAAGCACGAATGCTTTTGTGTTGTGAGAAACGCTATAGTTTAGATACATAATAACACTAACCTGAGGCTGTGTAAAAAACAACGATAATAAGTTAGTGTTTGGTTGTCCAACATGTGAGCAACCTCTACTGTATTCACTCTAAAAATAAACAGCTACGGTGAGGTACAGAAAGATTAGCAAACTCAGTTGTACTTTGTTAAACACTAGTTGTTGCCAAACGTATACGTTAAGTGTATTTTATTATCTGTTTCAGGTGGTTTGTATGCAACAGTTGTTTTCGTTCAGAACGGTAAACTATTATATTGCAGGCGTTGCTTATTAATGCTACATATTACTAGCACTGGTGTTTATATTGTTACAAAGGTGTCACGTCTGTTCAACAAACAAATAAGTTGTTGTCCCATTGCTACACACCGTGCAGTTACTGGACAAAACGGTGTCTAATCCTGTCATTAAAAAATCTTGTTTTTGCATCTATTTTCACAATCTATTTTTTGGAATATGTCATATTTAATAACCACTCTAAAACTGCTAGATAAATAAGGTCAATGTAGATTAAGATAAAATAAAAAAATCAATCCTATGCCTAAAACTGAAGTCAAAACATTTAAGACCAAAATCAGAAAAAAACCATCCAATCATGTGCACAAAATATCCAGTTAGCAGTCATTTTCATAGAAAACTAAACTCTATTGAGCTGAAGTGAGGAAAAATTACAACTTCAGTGAAGTGACTTAATTTACCCACTGTATCTGACAGCACTTAAAGTTATCCTTAAATTGCACATACATCACTCCTTAATTATGTGGCCTGTTTTAACAGTATTTGTGTGTTTGCAGGTTCCTGAGTGAGCACCTTCTTATCATGAAAGCTGACCACCAGGTCGCCAACCCCCCCTCCTTCTGCAGTTGATGGATCTGCAGCTGGTCCAGAGATGACAGACAGCGTCAGGGCCTTCCTCCGCAATGTTGCGACGGTATAAGATAAGCTCCACACACTGACGTTTTGAACCAGCTGTAATATTTGTGTGATGACAAAAATAGAACTGACAGTTTGTCATTTTGATATACATTTAATTCAATTTGACCTTATTGAGACAATGTTTATTGTCATTCATATGTAAAGGTTCAGATTTATTTAAATTAATTTAATAAAATTAGTACATAATGATAGTCCTTGTTAGGGACCATGAACCTTATTTTCTATTGAAAACCTAAAACCCTATCATTGTGTGCCCAAAGCTCAACTATGAGCCGGCTGAAGTCAAAACAAAGTCCATAGACAACATTTGTCATTGAAATGCTAGTCCTGACCTGTCTGTTGTTTCATATCTGTAGATAATGACAAACAGAGACTTTGGCAATTTTCAACAGTGAGTTTACACTCACCTTCAGGTCAGTGTCATTAGGCCTGGACATCTGATACCAACTGTGATGGTGCTACAGTCACAAGCTTTTGTATTATTTTGTTTTAAGGGTTTTGCACAGGGTTTATAAGCCCATTAATGGTATAAAAATAATATATACTCCTATCAGCTTCGCCAAACCTCATAACTGGCATTTTATGCATCAAACTGTTTTAAAAATTAAAAAAAAAATTCTGGACTTTGCAGGGGATCAAGGACTCCATATTGGGAATTGGAACAATCTCCAAGCTAGATGCTCGGATACAGCAGAAAAGGGAAGAGCAGCGAAAAAGAAGGGCCAGTGGGGCCTTGGCACAGAGAAGAGCTCAGAATGAGGAGCGCAAACCAGACAAGTAGGCCTGAAAAACTGTACTTTTCTACTGTTAACAAATAGAAAAAATACATTTTCTAAACCTATATTTATTTCTTATATGTATTTGTTACACGTGATTTCTCTTTCACCATACACTCTAGAGTGCAGTCAGATTTAAAACAAGTAATGCTTGTCTCACAAGTGTAATTTACCAGCTCTGTCTTTTACGTGAAGATAAGTTACTAATGAATGTGAATTGTAAAATGTTGTTACTATGTTGTAAAATGTTACTATTTTTGTTACTATTTTTATGTAATGCTATCATTTGCATCCACAGTGTAAAAACATTTTAAAAACGGAAGATTAAATTAATCCACAACATCTCGTTCGTAATCTATTATGTACTTTCTCCCTAAGTGAACCCAAAGTAGCCAGTAGGATTTTTCAGTGCTGTGCCTGGAATGGAGGAGTGTTCTGGGTAAGAAATGTTCATCATGAAAGATTCATCATTAGCGTGCAACAGCTTTTATTGATGCTCATGTTTGGTGATTTGTGATGTGTTTTCCTGTCAATCCTCTAGATGTAATTTATCATTAAACTAAACATGTTGTTTGGTTCGGGAGCTATAAAACTAACTGCAAATGTAATGATTTGTGAGATAGAACTGGATTTCTGCACCTTTTCTGCTTATTGCTTACTGGTTTTGAGAGACCAAGTTTGTGCCTAGAACCGTGCAGTTCAGAGAGAGAGCTGTTCACTGTTCTCGTTTATGTACACATCCATGTGGTGGAAGAGTCACTTTTATTGTTTTAAGATCCAGAAGAAAAACAAAACATTCAGAGAACATCCATCAAATCTGCCTGTTTTGTTTACTGGATTTAAACTTGTCCATGTATAACAAATTAAATCTAAACTTTAATGCATCCAGATATTTCTCATCCTTATTTATATATTTATATAAATATATATTCATATATTTATATATTGATATTTCTCATCCCTCATATTTAAACCACATGACTTCATTAGTTTTGATTCTCATCTGTTGCTCTGTGCATTTAATAATCTGTGTTCTTCTTCTCTCCAGCTCAGTCTGTTTCTTTTCTACCGTGTGTTTATCCCATTGCTGCAAGCTCTCACTGCAAAAATCATCGGTACGTTTTAACGCTATACGTTTTTTAAAAAAAGTCTCACTGAACACAGTAGGCCAGAACCTGTGTGTGTTGGTAGGAAGTACCCAGTCTATTTACTGTCTTTGTCCAGGTGACCCCTCCCTCCATGGCAGTGTTTGGTCCTGGCTAGAGTTCATCCTCACCTCTGTCTTCAGCGCTCTTTGGGTCCTCCCCCTGTTTGTCCTCAGCAAAGTAGTTAATGCCATCTGGTTCCAGGTTAGGTCTAACTTCACTATCATCTACTGATGGGAAGATTCTAGAAGCAGCTGTTATTTAACTTTGATGACTCTACCTCCGTAAAGCCTCTCTGTTTGCCATGTTAAAGGAATATTATTTATTTTGTTGTTGCAGTTGTATGAACAGATGACAAAGGGCTGACGTATACATGATTTTAGTGCTTCTGTTTATATGACAATTCATTTTATGCTAATTAGATAAAAAGAGTCAAATTAGTCCTTACGAACTAACTAAATATAATCTATGATTTGTTTTGTCGCAGGACATCGCAGACCTAGCATTTGAAGTCTCTGGGTGTAAGGCTCAGCCGTTCCCCAGCGTCAGTAAGATCATCGCAGACATGCTCTTTAACCTCCTCCTTCAGGCGCTCTTCCTGATTCAGGTACTTTCATTAGATAACACTAATAGATGTACAGTTGTAATGTACGTACCATTACATCAAAAGCAAATCAGGGTTTTTTTTCTCTCTGTGACAAATGTTTATACATTGGTGGCCGTGAATGTGACAGTCTGGTGTTCTCTGTGGTTCTACAGGGAATGATTGTTAGTCTCTTCCCCATTGATGCTATTGGACAGATGGTCAGCCTCCTGCACATGTCCCTGCTGTACTCCCTGTACTGCTTTGAGTATCGCTGGTTCAACCACGGTGAGACCCCTAAATAACACTCATTACCCGCTGCATTGAACAATCCAAGTCCAACTCCTGGTGTGGGCTCTTTGTGCTTTAGGTATCGAGATGCACCAACGACTGTCCAACATTGAGAGGAACTGGCCATATTACTTTGGTTTTGGTTTACCTATGGCCCTGCTCACTGCTCTACCCTCCTCCTACATCATCAGGTAAAAGAGTTAGAGTCCACTTAGCAACTTTTTAACTGTCACTAGTACTGCCAGTAACACCAAAAGAATACCTAGAAATTTAGGTAGCATCTGTTAAAAAATAAATAAATAAATAACTTAAAAAAAGAAAAAACACTGACACGTCTGTTCTTAGTAGATCTGGTCCACTTTAAAACCAAGCACAGGCTGCGTATATTTTATTTTACATTAAGTAGAGCTTCAACAGGGAGTTGTTGGACGAGTAATCTGCTACCAAACGATACACAGGATGAAACAGACCTAGAAACACAGAGAGACCTAGAAACAAAAACATCATAATGTAGCACAGGGGTTACCAATGTGGTGCCCAGGGCCACCTGGTAGCCCAATGTCCTGCCTAAGGTGTATGCCGTTAAAACAATAGTCAACTCGAGGGTCGAGAAATGTCCTGTGTTCTTTTCCCAGAGGAACCACATACTAGGCATTTCTAAGGGGCAGCCTATCACAGTAGATCTAGTGTTAACACATCACTTTCCCCAATGTGGGATCAGGAAGTTTACATTTTTAATATTATTATTACTTCAGGTTTTTAATAATCAATATGTCATTTGTCACTGTAGTGGCTGCTTGTTCTCCATCCTCTTTCCTTTATTCATCATCAGTGCTAACGAGGCTAAGACACCGACCAAGCTGTAGTAAGTGTGAAATAAAATTATAAAATAATTTATTTTTTCCCCACGTGTGAGTCACTGATTCTCCCCGTACGTTTTTCAGCCACTTCCAGCTGCGACTCTTCTCCCTGGTTGTGCTGATCAGTAACAAACTGTTCCATAAGACGGTCCACCTCCAGTCCTCACTGACCTCCTCCACCTCCTCAGAGAGACTGTCTACTCCTCGCACATCTCCCTCCCGCCAGAGACTTGTGGCCACACAGTGACGGATCCAGTGAAGGAGAAAAGGAGTGGCGTCACAATAAGAGAAGTTATTCTCCCAGATGAAGATGTTTGGATCTAAGGTTTAGGATGAAGGCTTGTTATGTTTTTATGTAATTTCTGGCCTTTTATTTTACATTTGACACAAATCGACCTTGCTTCACACTCAAAACAAAAATGATGTATTCAGATCTAGATTTTCTTTTTTTTTCTTTAATTTTTATTTTTGTAAAATGTGCCATTTGATTTAATCTCCCAGCACAATATATATCACACAGTTATGTCTGGTCAAGCTTTTAACTTAAGGGTTCATTTTTCTTGTTTACCTTCAAAAGCTAAGAACACTCTTGCTTTGCCCAGAGTACATTAATGCTTCAAACTGCAGTCCATTTCTTTACAAACTCAGTTCAGTTGCTGCTATCAGACCAGTGAGTAATAGGAGTTGATACCAAATAAAGCTTGTTGTTTGTTGAAGGAAAGTTTGTCTGGTTCCTCCTCTGAAACCCAGATGTCACTCCACTGACTGAAGGGATTTTCAGTTTTCAAAGGTGACACCAGCAAAGGCAGAAACGTGTCTGGTGTGTCAGACTGTAGTAGGTGATCAGTAGGATAACTGCCACTCTGCAATGTCTGTGTTTATTTTCATTTCAGAACTAACTTATAAACAGTTACATAAAGGAACCTCTACCAACCTAGTCAGTTTTCATTCACTCACCAGAGGAAAAAGGACCTCGATATGAAAAAAAAGTGTGCAATTACTGTACAGGGAGCACAGTGTTTGTGCAGACTGTTTTTGTGTGAGTCTTTTAAAAGTATTGTGTCTAATTTCAATAAAATTGGTCCATAATCCATCTTTTGAAGATTTAAGTTTGGTTTTTTTTCTTACTAAATGTAGTAAACTGACCAATGAAGTATAAAAATACTGTAATTTTTTATTTTAATTTTTAAAGCTACCAATAGTATAAGAATCTACTGCATGTTTCTTTAAATAAAAATGCTTCTGGCAACTGTGCAGTTTACCTTGCTTCTTCACGTGTAAATAATATTTTTAATTAATTCTATTTTCATTGTAGATTTGTGTTTGTATCCTTTCTATGTCGTCCCTGTTTTACTGTCTGTGTTATTACTTAATACGTGTTGTCTTTCTGTTCGTGCTGTAATATGTATTTATCGTACTTATTGTACATCTATTGTAATGAGTGTTGCGCTGGCGTTTAAATTTTAGTTTTACCAGCAGAGGGCGACACGTTTCCCTTCGTCGATAAGGACACGTCACTGCACTAGAGCGACAAGGTAGAGGGCGCATCATGAGGATTGGTCCAGTAACGAATCAGACGCGTGTGTACTCGTAGTTACTGACGTTCGACCAATAAACATGCATCCCAGCCTGGCGAGGGCGGGATTAGCTCACAGTGAAGTTTGTGTGTGAAAAAGTGTATGAGTAACAGGAGCGGAGTGGGTGAGTCTGAATGAACATTAAAATTGTACACTTATACAAACATTTAGAGACAGTGGCTTTTATTTGAGCACGTCTGTGGCCGTACATATTTGTGGTAACGGCTTTTATGTAATGCGTTTAAAATGGTTAGCAGTGCGGTTGTCGTTTTGCAGCAGCTAGCGAGTTAGTCCTGTTAGCTGCTCACATTTTCATTTGAATGGCATCATCATCAAGCGATCCTGGTGCAAAAAAACTATTCTGTTTAAACTGCGCCTATGTGGGTGTTTATATAAATTGCTTTGCTTAATGCATATGTAATTAACGGTCACTAAGTGCTGTTGATTTCACTGGTGTTGGAGACCCAGGTAAAGGGTCTTTTTACCTGTCTGTATGTCCGCACTTCAAAATAAAAATAATTCTGACTGTAGTTCATATCTTCATTTTTGTATTTCATAAGCGTAAATTATTCTGAAGAAAATAGACACAGGTTTGAGACAGGAATTTTCCAGTGTAGCTGCTTCCTGATTCCTGACGCCACATCTTACTGCGTGGCCTTCTCTGGTTGGGCTACACATGGAAGTTAAATATCTGGAGTTTTAAGAATTAGGTTTTTTTGTTTCTTTCTAAAACTTTAAAATGATTCGCAGTACTTTTTATCACTGCATTACTCCAAGTACATTTATATGCGTGATTATAATGTGAAATTTTGGAAGAAACCTTTAATCTGATGCAGAGCTACTGTACAGTGAAATCATGGATCCAAGGGGTGAAACAACAAACTAGCCTGCATAAACCATGGATGTTCCAAAACACCTGTACCTTATTAATTGCAGCATCTCCGGAAGTATATATTATATAAAAATCTGATATTTAGGGTATGAGACAGAAAAAAGAGATGCACAAAAGCTGAAAAGATTACATAGATAGGTTACAGATATATTTACCACACAATTCATATGACCAAACATCACAGTGTTTTTCTTCTCCGTTCAGGTAGTACGGTGAGCTGTTCATAACCTCGCCACAATGACCAAGCTAGGCTTCCTGCGTTTGTCCTATGAGAAACAGGACACACTGCTGAAGCTGCTCATTCTGTCTATGGCCGCTGTCCTCTGTGAGTCTCCTGTTTCTGATGCTGAACAATTTTTCCTCCCTGTAACAATAATAAAAAACAAGAGTTGTATTAATTAGTTAAATATTTGAAAAGAAATAGAATTCTAAGTTGATCATAACACATACTCCACAGGTCATTGACAGGTCTTTGTTTAGTGGTTGGGAACACATTGGAGTATTTTATAATATCTAGATTTTGAACATGTCACAACAACAATTTTTTTTCTTTATTTAACCCAATAATTGTTAATCCAGATTCCTGATAAAGTTTGTTTTTTAATTTTCCCTCAGCATTCTCCACAAGACTGTTTTCCGTCTTGAGGTTCGAAAGTGTCATCCATGAGTTTGATCCGTACGTGCCACTTTTGTCAGCACATTCAATAAGGTGATCGTCCTCCTCAAAGTCACGTTTTAATTTTAATGCCTGTCTTGTTTTCAGTTACTTCAACTACCGTACCACCCGCTTCCTGGCAGAAGAAGGATTTTATAAATTCCACAACTGGTTTGATGACAGGGCCTGGTATCCTCTGGGGAGGATCATTGGTGGAACCATCTATCCAGGTGATGAGATAGGTTGATGAGATTACAGTAGAAAATGACAGATTATAAATGACCATGCTGTGAAAGTAGTCAACCTGGACCCAGTTCTAGTTTAGTGCAAGTTTCCACCACAGAGATTATATTTTTTTATCTCTTCTTCTTCACCAGGGCTGATGGTCACCTCTGCCGTCCTGTACCACGTCCTACATTTTTTTCACATCACCATTGACATCCGAAATGTCTGTGTGTTTTTGGCCCCTTTGTTTTCCTCCTTCACTGCCATTGTGACCTACCACTTCACCAAGGAGCTAAAGGTAAAATCCACTCTTCCATTGTCACAGCGACAAAAAATATAATGGAATCTAAGATCATCCGAGATAATCTACTGTTTCATGACAACCAGATTTTAAAAAATGACTGCAGATGTGATTGTTAATTTTGTTAATGTAAATTACTATTTCATGATGATAATATAACAATGTGCTTCAAATGCTCTAAATAGTGTTTGGCAAACCTTTTCAAATTTGGTAATGAAATATACTGTTAGCAGCTCAGCAATTGTTTTGCAATGTGTTATTTTTTAGTCAATGTTCCACAGCCATTTTTAGGCACTGTGCTGCAGCTGTTTTTTTTAACAGATTTATATTTGTCAAAATGTTAGAAATCACTTTGTGTCTTAAGACTGATCTTTGTTTGACCTGTGTGCTTGCTGTTGAACTATGATGTTCCCTTAAAGTCTGAGCAAACAGGGCAGTATGGGGTTAAAAAGATTATAAAGTAATAAATCTCCAAAAGAACAATACGATGCTCTTTTCCAGAAATGACAACTATAATAATAATAATAATAGTAATGTGTACTGTAAAGGAGGTAGATACGTCTTTCAAATTGCTGGTGTCTCTGACAGGGTTAACTTTGCACTTTATTTATTTATTTTATAAATGAACTTCCATTCAATAGCTGTCTATCTCCTTTCAGGATGCTGGTGCTGGGCTCCTGGCTGCTGCCATGATTGCAGTGGTGCCTGGTTATATCTCCCGTTCCGTAGCTGGATCGTATGATAATGAAGGTAAAGGAAAATACTTTGTGTGTATAACAACGTATTAATAGGAAGTATTCTGTAAATGAGAGTCTTGATCACATTGCCCTGCGCCGTAGGTATTGCCATCTTCTGCATGCTGCTCACCTATTACATGTGGATCAAGGCCGTCAAAACAGGGTCTGTGTACTGGTCCTCCATGTGCGCTCTGGCCTACTTTTACATGGTGAGGACAGAAGCTTTAAGGCAGCTCTTTGAATCTGAATGTCAGCCAGGGTCATTAAGAAGTGTTTGTGTGCATGTGCAGGTTTCCTCCTGGGGTGGATACGTGTTCCTGATCAACCTCATCCCACTCCACGTCCTGGTGCTAATGCTCACCGGCCGCTTCTCCCATCGCATATATGTGGCCTACTGCACAGTCTACTGCCTGGGCACCATCCTCTCCATGCAGATCTCTTTCGTTGGTTTCCAGGTATGAGGGGGAAAACACTGCTGTAGCTAACACTAGTTCTTATGCACCTAAACATATGTAGATAAATTACCGTATATATTCGCGTATTAGCCGATTCATGTATAAGAAGACCCCTGAAAATGTATCCCAAAATGGTGATTTTTACAAAAACTTGCATATAAACTGAATGTAAACCGACCGTTTTCATTTTTTGTCGTGGTCAAATGTCTTATTCCT